CTCTTTGCGATCCCATGGACTGCAGCACAGCAGGTTTTATTCAGTTCAGTTTGGTCGCTCAGTCATGTCAGACTCTTTGCAACCTCTTGGATTGCAGCACGCCAGGCTTCCCTATGCATCACCAACCCCCAGAACTTGCTCAAACTCACGGCCATGAAGTCAGTGATGCCATCCTACCATCTCATCCTCTGTCGTCCCCTTCTCCTCCTGCCTTCAATTTCTCCCAGCATCAGTGTCTTTTCTAAGGAGTCAGTTCTTCTCATCAGGTAGCCAAAGTATTGGAGCTTCAGCATCAGTCCCTCCAATGAATATTCAGGACTGATTTCCTTTAGGATTGACTTGGTTTGATCTCCTGGCAGTCCAGGGGACTCTCAAGAGTCTTCTCCAACACCAAAGTTCAAAAGCGTCAATTCTTCAGCACTCAGCTTTGTTTATGGTCCAACTCTCACATCCATACATGATAATTACTGGAAAAACCATAGCTTTGACTAGATGGACCTTTGTTGGCAAAGTAATATCTCTGCTTTTTAATATGCTGTCTAGGTTTGTTATAGCTTTTCTTCCAAGGAGCAAGCATCTTTTAATTTCATGGCTGCAGTCACCATCTGCAGTGATTTTGAAGCCCAAGAAAGTAAAGTCTGTGACTGTTTCCATTGTTTCCCCATCTATTTGCCGTGAAGTTGTGGGACCAGATACTATGATCTTCATTTTTTGAATGTTGAGTTTTAAGCTTTTTCACCCTTGTCTTTCTCCTTCATCAAGAGACTCTTTAGTTCCTCTTCTTTCTGTCGTAAGGGTGGTGTTGTCTGCATATCCAAGGTTATTGGGTATTTCTCCCGGCAGTCTTGATTCCAGCTTGTGCTTCATCCAACCCAGCATCCCCCATGATGTACTGTGTGTATAGGTTAAATAGGCAGGGTGACAATGTACAGCCTTGATGTATTCTTTCCCCAATTTGGAATCAGTCTGTTGTTCCATGTCCAGTTCTGTTGCTTCTTGACCTGCACACAGATTTCTCAGGAGGCAGGTTAGGTGGTCTGGTATTCCCCATCTCTTTAAGAATTTTTCACAGTTTGTTGTGATCCACAAAGACTTTGGTGTAATCAATGAAGCAGATGTTTTTCTGTATTTCTCCAGGCTTTATTATTACTTCCAATTTTACCAGAGGAAACTGGGGCATAGTGAAGGTCAAACTTGGCCCAAGGTCACATGGAGAGCCCAGGCATTCTGACACTTGACTTTTAATGTCTACATTATATTAAACATGCATTTTAAATAGTGCTTATGCATTGAGTTGGGGCTTCCCAGCTGGCGCTAGAGGTAAAGAACCTGCCTGCCAATTCAGGAGAGATAAGAGATGTGGATTCCCTCCCTGGGACAGGGAGATCCCCTGGAGGAGGGCATGGCAGCTCACTCCAGTATTCTTGCCTGGAGAATCCCCATGGACAAGAGGACACTGACAGGCTGCAGCCCATTGTGTCTCAAAGAGTCTGACATGACTGAAGTGACTTAGCATGCACACATGCATGCATTGTGTTAGTAGTTATAAGTTTTACAATTTGAAATTTATAGCTAGTCTCATTTTAAGGTTTTGAAAATTCAACAGAAGGTAACGCAAGCCAGATGCCATCATCTTAGACTGAAGGACAGACATCTGCATTGCACAAAACGGAAAAGCTACTTCTATCACAGGAATATTTGTGCCATCAGAATTACTCTGGAACAGCCTGCTCCCAGAGAGGCACAGTATAAACAAGAGTAGCCTCTCTGCACATGAAACCGAGTTTGAAATACTTTAACTCTCTGAGCCCATGTCATCTTTTATCCTAGGAGGATAATCCCCATTTTGCAAGCTTGTTGGGAGAGCCATTGTTGTTATTAACAAGCTCTCTCCAGAAGTGAGTCAGAAGCTGTGTCTCTTACTTAATCTTAGCCTATTAAATGGAGATCCTAATGCCTACCTCACAAAGGTGTAAGGTCTGAGCAAACATGTGAAATCACTTTGTGAAATGAATACAACTTTCTACACAGTGTTTTAAGTAGCTGAGCCATAGCTCAGGTGAATAGTGCCTTTAGACACACAGCTCTACCTGGAGGTAGGATGCTAGTTTCACAGGTTCTCAGTCTTTTCTCATTAGAACGACCTGGTTCTTCTGAAGCTCCCCAAGGTCTACCCCCTCAGTGTTCTCTGGTCAGTAAGGCCCATTTCTCTAAAGGGAAGGCAGCTTATGTGAACAGAAGTAGGAGAAAGAACATAGCTCAACTATCCTCAATTGTCAATTAATTGGCAACTACCAATTCCAATGTCCTGCTGAAGAAACACTTGTATCCACTTTGTCAACCACACAAGGGAAATAAAATACATGCCAATGTATTTCATTCAACTCCTGATTGTGGTATAATAAACCTCTGACTTAAGAAAGGACTTCCCTGGTAGCTCGGTGGTGAAGAGTCTGCCTGCCAATGCAAGAGGCGCGGGTTTGATTCCTGATCTAGGAATCCACATGCCGCAGAGCAACTAAGCCTGAGTACCGTAACTACTGAGTCTGTGCTCTGGAGCCCGGGAGCCGCAACTACTGAGCCCACACGCCCGAGAGCCTGTGCTCCCCAACAGGAGTCACAGCAGCGAGAAGCCTGCACACCACGGGGAGAGGAGCCCCTTTCGCCACAACTAGAGGAGAGCCCACACAGCAGCGAAGACCCAGCATAGCCTCAGTAAATACACAAATCTTTGTTTAAAAAAAAAATTGGTCATAGTTTACCTCCTACTTAAATTATTTTCATAACATCTTGCCCCTAGCCTGAATGACTTTGGGAAAGCGAACTTGGAAATTCTAAGATCAATGTTCTGAGCCATCCTAAGAGTAGTTAGAAGTCTTTTCAAACAAAGATAGTTGGCAAGGGAAACGGATCACCCCTTCTAGAGTTAGGAGCCCCTGGGAAGAAGTCCACCTGGGAAAGGATCAAGATGCTTTCATACCATGGAATATCACTCAGCCAGAAAAAGGAACAAAATCAGGTCATTTGTAGAGACGTGGATAGACGGAGATAGTGTCATACAAAATGAAGTCAGTCAGAAAAATAAACACCGTATATTAACATTATATATGTGGAATCAAGAAAAATGGTATAGATGATCTTATTTGCAAAGTAGAAATAGAAACAGAGAATATACAGATACCAAGGGGGAAGGCGGGAGGGGTGGGAGGAACTGGGAGACTGGGGTTGACACATACACACTATTGATACTGTGAATAAAATAGATAACCAATGAAAAAACATGCTACAGAGCTCAGGAAACGACCCAGTGCTCTGCAGTGACCCAAATGAAAAGGAAATTCAAAACAGAGGGATTATGTATATACACGTAACTGATTCACTTTGCTGTACAGAAGACCACTACATTGTAAAGCAAATATATTCCAGTAAAATATTAATAGAAAAAAAAAAAAAAGATGCTTTTAAGAACCCACGGAACCACCCAGCCAGACCTACTGAGTGGAATCTTCCAATAACTGCAGACAGCCAATAAAGTTGATGGCCTGATATTAGTAATATCTCCTCTGGGCCATGCCCTTGAGCACATGGCAGCCTTGGGATGACTTATGATAAGGATATTGCACCAGATCACAACCCCGAGCAACTGAAGAATTAGGGGGAAAGACAGGATATCACTTTCAGTAGATGAATAGTAAGTAGTTTCATATTATTGAAGCATTATCCAACATAGAGGCCACCTAGCAAAGGACAATTTTAAAATATAAATGTTAGTATTTGTCAAAGTTTATACATAAATCTGAACTAAAAGTCAACAGCAAATTATCTTTCACAAGTTCATGTCCTGGAAAACTTCTTTACCCTGATTCGAGGACACAAGGACTTGTTCCAAAGTTTTTGAAATTGATATGGCTCAGAATGCCTGCATATTTACAAAACTCTGTCATCCATAAATGAGCTGCAAAAATACCACATCCTTGTAACCTTGTTGATGAGATTGAATGAGTACACACAGTGTGCTAGGCACTGGCTGGACATATTATATGCCTACATAATCTTCATGACCCACATTCCAAACCATGTCTTTTTAATATAACTGAATGTGTTTTCTAAATGTAGTAGTGTCATTTGTTAAAATATGTTTACTTTTACAAGAGGCTGTTGAAGTTAACAAGAAATGGTACCAAAGTTCATAATATATTTATACTTAGAAATCATTTATACATAAAACAAAGGTGAATTGAATTTTTTATTAGAAAAAATGCCCTATTTTATAGATCACCATTTATGAGAATCCTACCAAAGCACTACAACAAACTGGCCTTGAAGAGAAACACCACAATGACAGAAAACTCAAAATACTGTATCTTTGAGGAGCCTGCAACCAGGCTAATTGAAAATCAACACACAACTCCCACCACACCACACACAAGTATGAACAGGTTATATAAGTAAGCCAAGATTTAGAAAACACAGTGGAAGAGGAGGAACACACCCACACATGTATCTGTGTGCATGTTTTCCTTAAAAACATGTAACAGGGTTTCCTTCATTTTACTCAACTCAAAGAAATTCTTGATCTAAAATTATTCCATGTCTAACATTATACAAAAGAAATATCATAAAGCAAAAGTTTACATTTTCCTGGGAACTGTCCGTTGCAAGTAAGAAAATGTTACTTGAATTTTTTAGTGTAAAATCCACATAAAAACAGGAGTTGTAATACAGTGCTTGCCATTTAAGTATAACATTGCCAAAATGCTTTATACGGGACTATTTTACATTACAGAAGAGGAATATCAATGCAGAGGTAATCAGTGCTTCCAAACTTTTATAATTCTTCTACAGGGGAGATCTAAATGGTCAAATGTATTTCGATTTAAAAGGAGCTGTTTTCTCGCCTCTGGTAAGGTGCTGACTGATGAACAAAGACAAGCGCACAGTCAGACTGCGTTCTGCTCAGCAGCCGCCACCTTCCAGGAGTCCTGACACTCACGGGCTCTTTACTGGACCCTACAGTTCTCACCGCCCCTGGACTCCAGGCTGGCTTCTGGGCTGGGGGCGTGGCGGCCTCGCTTGGCTCTTAGGCCCTCCCTGGGGCTGCCCGCTGGACTTCTCTCGGGAAGATTACTGATGGAGAGAGATCTGGCAGTGGGATCTCGGAAGGGAGCACCTGAATCCACTGGGCTCTGTTGAGAAAGCTTGACCTGCAACACAAGTATTGTCTTTAGAGGTTTAAAATCACATTTGCATTTCTACAGCATGAAAAATAAAGTACTTAGTTAGGTCATCACATTTGAAGTTCAATTCTTCTTGTAGGAATTCTACACAGTATGACGATTTCTTCTACCCTGAAAACAGGCCCCCACCTAAACAGAGAAGCTGGAGAAAAGGGTTGGACACCACCTCTGAAGAGGCACCTTGCAAAGCTTTCCTTGACACCTCTAATGACCAGACACTCGTTCCCAAGGCCACTGTGACCTTCTCAGATCAGAAGGTAAGCTCTCTGAGGGCAAACACTATGTCCTTTTTACCTTTGCATCCACAGTGCCCAGAATATGCTTGACTAATAACAAACATTCAATATTTGTGTAAGAACCCAAACCAGCTTCCATTTATCTTACTTGAGCCTCTATCATTCAAATAAACGTATTCCAGTGAGTCTTAACAGTTTCATAAGGTGGAAGCTTTATTTACAACATTTAAAAGACCTAGAGCCTCTTCCTCACATAATAACATTTTAATCATTCTCCTTCCATTTAAAGTTCAGAAAAAAATTTTAAGTTCCCTTTCTGATGTCCTGCCTTTTAAGAGAAAGGGGGATTCCCCCTTTTAAGAGAAAGGGGGATCTCAAAAAATGTGAGACTTTAAGAAGTAGATGAGAGGGTAATGCAGCTGGTAGGGCTGAGATTTTTTGAGTTTTCTATGGTAGTGAGAAAAAATATGGGGTCAGGAGAGAGAAAGAGCAAGACGGATGAAATACAGAAAAATGTCACAACCAAAGTGAAAGGGCAAGAGTAGATGGTTCAGGTAGGAAGATCTTTAAAAGAAAAAGAGGAAGGACTCTTAGCTAGGGTGATATGTACTCAGTACCAACTCTGAGAAGCACCTATGGGACAGACCACTCCCTGCCCAACTGCCTGCCTGGGACCACCTTCTGAAGCAGAAGAAGAAAGAATGGAAATTATTTCCCCGTGTATATTCTTTCCATAGGAAGTGTGTGGTTTTAAAAGGCAGCTAAATACTTTTCATTACAAAACATAGTAAATCTGACCAACAGATCAGATCCCTGGAAAGGTTGCCTCTACCTCAGATGATGTGCAGGACACTTAAAAGGAGTGGCTTTGAAGGATTAGGACTTAATGGAAAATTACTGTCCATGGAAATTTGAAGGAAAAAAACAAGAGTTTTACTGGCACTCTTTTCTTTCTTTTTGTTTTTTTTTAAGTAGAAAGTGATACAGAAGACAGACATTTCCCTTGAACCCATGAGCTGCAGGAGAACCAAACCTTTAGTTGCACCATTAAAAGACAGAGGAGGTGGGGAGAGAGACTGCATTGGGGAAAGAGAATGTGAGCTAGTAAAACTCCTTCTGAAACCCAATAGAATAGCCAAAGTTCACCCTTTGGCCTCCCCTTCCAGACTCAATTTCTTGATTCTGAATTGAGGAAACTGTAGTTGTTAATCGTAGTTTTAACTTTGGATTTGATCCTCATGTTGATTAGTTAGCCTCAGACTTATCCATAACCAGATGAGGTCAGACTTCCCAGGTATTTAAGATATTAAGTGTACCTGTACCCTAACTGTCTTACAAACTGTGTCTGCAGCTACAGTGGGGAGACAACGGGTATGCAAATAGCTCACTGGAAAAGAAACTCATAAGTAGGAAAAATGGTTAAGATCCCACTAAATTGCTGACAGGCCCTGTGGTGATGGCCTCACAATCATCTCATACAGTTAGTGGACGGTCCTCTGGAGCTAACTCCCAGAGACAAAGCAGAGACTGATCCTCACCTATTCTGCATCTTAACCATGTTCCCCTTCGAACTTGTCAGCTGTCACTAACAGTTCTGTTAAATGATCTAGGAAATCTCTCAACACTCAGCCAGTGACTTCAGGTGAATATTCATAATCTGAAGTTTCTAAGCAACCGCTTTAGGAAAGGATAACTTGCTGTCTCTTTTTTCAAACTGAATGATGAAATATGCTCAGCAGATGAGGCAAGCATTTTATAAGGTGACTCAGAAGATGTTGGATTATATTAAAAATCAATAGGCTGGGTTTTGAAGGCTTGCATCTAATCACAAGTCCCCTATAACCTTTCAAGAGGAACCACCCCCCATTCATGTGCACAAGTGCACAAAATTGCTTAGCAGTTCATAACCACTGGTGCCTACTGCAGCCTATAGCTCCTGCACACACAAGTCCGCAGGAAACCATGGTTACTGCTCTGTCCTCAGCAGATGTGACAGCAGTGTGGAGAGCAGGCCCCCTAGCGTGCAAAGCTCTCTTAGAAAATAAGCTCGAACTCCACATGACAACTACTTTATCATCAGTTCCTCATAAAAGAAGGAAAAGTGACCCCTATGGCAATCTTATGAGGTGATTTCCTAACACACCTTTAAACATCTATTATTGCAATCACTTCAGGACATTAACAGCTCCATTAATTTAGAAGATACCTGTATTAGACATGAGGACACAAGTAAACTGTTAACATAATCAGCAACATCACAGAAGTCATACTGGAAACAGCCAAATACTTCATTTCAGGAATTAGGTTGTGCTTAATAGCTTTGGTCAAGTCTGGAAGCTTCACTGTTTAAAACTACTAGTTACTTTATGGAAAAGAAACTGTTCTTATGGTCTCTGGGGAGTTAGGACCTACTCCAGTATACTCTTCAGTGTTTTACTGTTACCAACATTCAAAAGTTAACTCCAAACATGAGTGTACAGTAAGAAAGAAAAATTAGAGAAAGGTGGGTTGGACGTGGGAGGTGGGAAGACTGATGGGGAAGGGAAAGAAATTTGCACAAAATAGCAAAATATTTCTAATTCCAAGTCATAGATGGGCCCATTTTAATGAGTGAAAGAAAATCTCATACCCTTCTCCCTCAGCCCCCAGTGAATAAGATCTTTATTATAATGTAAGATATAAACTCCTTAATCCTTAAAGCTCTTATATATCAGCATAACAAACATTTGCTTAAATGTTGTTGCTTTGATGCAACTAATCACCAAAGTCTTTGTATTTGGTATCTAAAATCCTAATGAGGAACACGCCTGCCCACTTAAAAAGTATTACCTTATACAAATAAGGGTTACTACACCTTCAAAGTTTTGTTGGCTGGATCAAGGTTATCTGATTGAATATTTAAAACTCTAACCAATAAACAAAGTAAAATCACAATATTAAAAACAAAAATTCTGTAAGCTATTCCAGAAACTTCCAACAAGATTCCTGTGATCCCTAGTTTGAGAAACAATAGGAAAAGAACAAGACTGGAGCTGAGAGACAGGTGTTAACCCCGGGGGGGTTCAATCTTATGAGTCTTACTTTCTTCATCCTTTTATAATAACTACCTAAGAGAGTTCAATAAAATAAGATAAAACTGAGTTCCCTAAAATTCACGTACTTTGCATATATAAACGGTAGCTGCTGCTATGGCTGTGAAGCCAATACACTCTATGCTTTAAATAACTTGACTGGGCTGTTTGCAAGGTGCAGAGAGGTCCCTAGGATTCCAACCCTCTCTCACTTCAACAATCAAGAGAGACACCCACAAGCAGAGCTCCTTTCTTCAGACATCTACTTGCTTTTCATAGAAAGTCAAGGAGTAATAAACACTAAGAATCACAGCCGGGGGGGAGAAGGGTGAGAGGGAAGCCTGTAAACAAGCAATGACCAGTGCCTGCGCCCCGTCCTTCCACGGTTCTGCCGAAACGTTCTAACAAACCCTAGGAGCTCCGCTCTGACAACACCATTTCCCATCAGACTGTTTAGAAGCAGCCTGCTGGGTCAAGGATGAGATTGTGCGGCAGGATAACATGATGTCTATCCTTGCATCTGCTTGCTACTCTCATCACTACTGACTTATTTATACCACGGGGAAAAGGTCAGACTTTGAAGGGTTCCCGAGTCAGAGGGTTCAGTGTCAAAGTCTTGCCCAGATAACGCTCTCATTTCCTGGATTTCACACAGTAGATACATGTTCACAGGGTTTACCTTTTGTGATCTGCTGCCACCAGCTGTTGGTTTGGAGGTCTCGGTGAGATTTTCTTTGTCGAGACTTGGCGGGGATGTTGCTAACTTCTGGGCAGCAAGGCGGGGGCTGGTCCTGGTTGCCATGGTTGTCCGCCGCAGGATGTACGGGCTCATCTTTCCGGTCGGGATGTCGGCAAACCCTAAGGGCACAAAAGCGACTGTCAGCACTGCTGGCTGCAATTCCATCAGCCTCTCCAGGGGCAGTGATATCCACAGGTGACATTCACGAGTGAGCAAGGATAAGGGCGACTCCAAAACTACTTCCTCCTCCGCAGTGGGCAGCGGACCCACTGTATTCACAATCACCCTGGGAGGCAGCAAGCTGAGTAAATCCCTCACAGGTCTTTTTTTATTAGAAACATAAGAAACAACATGGGGAAAAGGGAGGTGGGGGTGGAAATAACATTAAAGAGAAAAAACTTCCTGCTTCTACTAAGAACAAACCAGCAGGCCTTCCTGTAAGACGGATTGGTGAGGGAAATAAGGGGTAAAATGGAAAGGGGCAGGCACAAGAAAAGGCCTGCTCTTGTGGAAAGGGGGAATTTGTGAAGTCACAACAGCTACTTGCGGGGATACTCTCACGTAGAAAGACTGGATGGGAGGAGAGTCTGGATCTTGCTAAGAGTGACTTCACTCGGCATCATCTCCCCGCATAGAGGGAACTGACACAACTTGTGATGGCCAAGAGGAGAACGGCAATCCCAAGGACACTAAAAGAAAGCATGTCACACACGCTCCAAAACAGCCTTAAAGTAACTACATTAACTACAGGAGCCTGCTTTTGCTTTGTTTTTAACCCTTTACCTACAAATAAAAAGCTGTCATAAAAGAGAGCCAACTAACTATTTGGAGGTTGGATTTCTTAGCTAAGGGTTAGAATTACTCGAAATTGTGCTTCTCAAACCATCTATGGCAAAAAAAAAAAAAAAAATTTTTTTTCCCCAAATCATCTCCCAGAATTTTTTTTTAATTGATTAGTGGTATTATATTAGTTTCAGGTGTACAGCACAGTGATTCACAATTTTTAAAGGTTACATTCCATTTCACTTATTATAAAATATTGGCTATATTACTGGCTCTATTCCCCATGCTGAACGATACAGCCTTGTGGCTCATTTATTTCAAGCGTAGTAGCCGGTACCTCTCAATCTCCTGCACCACCTTGCCTCCCCTGTCCTCCCCCCTCTGGCAGCCACTCGTCTGTCTTCTATATCCCAGAATCCGCTTTTACAAGCACACTGCCACTGGAGTGCAGTCGCTTCACAATGCTGGATTCTTTCTGCTGAACAGCAAAGTGGGTCGGCTCCATCATCAGATGAGTGCTCTCTTTGGGACTGCACTCCCATGGAGGCCAGCACAGAGCACCCCGCACAGAGCTCCCACACGTGTGCGGCATACAGCGCATGCCGGTCTAACCCATCAGCCGCGTCTGGCTCTCTGACCCATGGACTGTAGCCCACCAGGCGCCTCTGTCCATGGGCTTTCCCAGGCAAGAACATGGAGTGGGTTGCCATGCCCTCCTCCAGGGGATCTTCCTGATCCTGGAGGGGAACCCTGGTCTCCCGCATTGGCAGGTGGATTCTTATCATTCGTAAAGAATATCATTTATTCTTTATCACCTGGGAAGCCCATGCTATACAGTAGGGTCTCAGTTACCTATTTTATACATAGTATCAACAATATCATATGTCAAAATATATGTCAGTCCTAATCTCCCAATTCATCCTGCCGCCCCGCTTTTCCTCTTGGTATCCATATGTTTGTTGTCTACTTCTGTGTCTCTATTTCAGCTCTATAAATAAGACCATCTATACCAATTTTTTCAGATTCCACATTTATGCGTTAATATATGATGCTTGTTTTTCTCTAGTTCTACGGAAGAGGGGTAGGGAGTAATCTCTCATCTGCTGTGGAATGATACTTTTGTATAATACAATAAGAATGAGTACAATAAAAACTGATTATGTGCTTGGATACTGCAAACAGCAAAATAGCAAATGGCTAGGAGAATTTTAAATTCTAACTCAAGATTTCTATACATCGTTTTGGTCATGGGACAGTAACAAACATTCCTAGACTAGCCCCAGTCTCTGGGCTACACGTTGAGGAACACTGGGGTTAAAAAACAAACAAAAAACATGGTAAGTAGCTCCAGCCAGGAGCCAGCATCATGGGGCCCCCATCTTCCAGCTCCCCTACTACCTGGGTCACACAACACTAAAGGTGGGAAACTTGAAGGGTTATCTTTGATTTGGGGATTGTTCAGCACAGAAATATTGATTTCCAAACAGTTTTTTGACAGTCATGTTTCAAATCTTCTAGTATTTTTTGTACTGTGACATAAGTAATTAGATCTGTCATTCTCTCATGAGAGAAAAGAAAGTATATACCTTACCAATCTAACAGTGGACTATTGCTTCTGAAGATTAATTAGGATCATGGCATAATAACCCCAAAATACAAATGCTTCTTTTCTCTTTGTATGTGAATTTTTTAGAATTTTTTTAAAGAACACAAATACTTTTAAAATTATGTCATACCTTTCTTTACAACTTCTGGAAGCCCCTCTGGCTCAAATTCAGCATCTTCTGCATCCTCTGCAGGGTGAATACCACTTTTGATGGCTTTCCTGCTTTTTTTAGAAAATGTCTCTGGTGTAGAAGGCGTGGTTTCTCCCCCATCCTCCCGAATCCCACTGGACCTTTGCCTTTTGCCTGAAGATTTATTTTGGCCAGATGGTAACTTCTTTTCAGTGGCAGAAGGGACTGGGGATGGTCCTGGAGCAACTGAATTCACCAAAGGAGAACTTCGAAGATTAAGTTTAGATTGTTGTGAACTCAGACGAGCAACTTGTGTTTCTAACATCTCTTTGGCTTTCTCTAACTTCTCATGGCTTATAAGCAGGGAACAGTATTTATCCAGGTATTCGTCTGCCTCCTTGGTTTTTTCTTCAAGGGTTTCTTTCAGTTCTTTCATTTCGGTTATTAATTCATCGACATTACCATCCACAAGGGTATCTGTCAAAAGTAAAGTGACACGTCATTTGTAATGTGACACTTCTCTAGTTAACACTGGGCATCATCAAACAGGTAACATTAGACTTGCTCTTGATTTTTATTTTGGAGGAGTGGGGGAAGATGTAGCCACAGATGTTCTTATACTTTAAACAGCTCTTATTTGGGAGGGATTGTATCAAAATACATATTCTAGTGAGTAACATTATTGTTCACTTGCTAAGTCATGCCCGATTCTTTTGAGACCCCACAGACTGTAGCCCACCAGGCTACTCTGTCCATGGGATTTCCTAGGCAAGAATACTGGAGTGGGTTGCCATTTCCTTCTCCAGGGATTGAACCTGTATCTCCTGCTTGGCAGGCATATTCTTCACCATTTCGCAGGCAGATTATTCAGCCAACAGGGAGCCCACATACTGACGGGGATAGTTTAAATATAACCCATCAATATCTCAAACTCATATTTCAGCCAATCCATCAAACTTTCTCGTAGTTATCATACTACATAAAGCAAACTAATTTATTACGCCCTCTATATTTATCTGTCCGCCCTTTCTATTTTAAGTGAATGAACAGTAGAAGGCGATGGAGGACAGAGAGTCACTGTTGTAGAGGCTTTGGAGACAGTTCAGCTGCTCAGCCGTGGCCGGCTCTTTGTGGCCCCACGGACTGCAGCACGCCAGGCCTCCCCGTCCGTCACCAACTCCCAGAGCTTACTCAAACTCATATCCCTGGGGTCGGTGATGCCATCCAACCATCTCATCCTCTGTCATCCCCGTCTCCTCATGCCTTCAACCTTTCCCAGCATCAGGGGCTTTTCTAATGAGTCAGTTCTTCACATCAGGTGGCCAAAGTACTGGCGTTTCAGCTTCAGCATCAGTCCTTCCAATGAATATTCAGGACTGATTTCCTTTAGATTGGATCTCCTTGCAGTCCAAGGGACTCTCAAGAGTCTTCTCCAACACCACAGTTCAAAAGCATCAATTCTTCGGCACTCAGCTTTCTTTATAGTCCAACTCTCATATCCATACATGACCAATGGAAAAACCATAGCTTTGACTAGACAGACCTTTGTTGGCAAAGTAATGTCGCTGCTTTTAATATGCTGTCTAGGTTTGTCATAACTTCTCTTCCAAAGAATAAGCATCTTTTAATTTCATGGCTGCAGTCATCATCTGCAGTGATTTTGGAACCCCAAAAAATAAAGTCAGCTACTGTTTCCCCATCTATTTGCCATGAAGTGATGGGGCCGGATGCCATGATTTTAGTTTTCTGAATGTTGAATTTTAAGTCAACTTTTTCACTCTCCTCTTTCACTTTCATCAAGAGGCTCTTTAGTTCTTCGCTTTCTGCCATAAGTGTGGTGTCATCTGCGTATCTGAGGTTATTGATATTTCTCCCGACAATCTTGATTCCAGCTTGTGCTTTATCAAGTCCAGCATTTCTCATGATGTACTCTGCATTTAAGTTAAATAAGCAGGATGACAACATACAGCCTTGACGTACTCCTTTCCCGAACACTTAGGATTATACAGTGGAAGACATATAGATTCAAGGGATTCGATCTGATAGACAGAGTGCCTGAAGAACTATGGGTGGAGGTTTGTGGTACTGTACAGGAGGCAGTGATCAAGACCATCCCCAAGAAAAAGAAATGCAAAAAAGCAAAATGGTTGTATGAGGAGGCCTTACAAATAGCTGAGAAAAGAACAGAAGCTAAAGGCAAAGGAGAAAAGGAAAGATATACCCATTTGAATGTAGAGTTCCAAAGAATAGCAAGGAGAGATAAGAAAGCCTTCCTCAGTGATCAATGCAAAAGAAACAATAGAATGAGAAAGACTAGAGATCTCTTCAAGAAAATTAGAGATACCAAGGGAATATTTCATGCAAAGATGGGCACAATAAAGGACAGAAATGGTATGGACCTAACAGAAGCAGAAGATACTAAGAAGAGGTGGCAAGAATACACAGAACTATACAAAAAAGACCTTCACAACCCAGATAATCACGATGGTGTGATCACTCACTTAGAGCCACACATCCTGGAATGTGAAGTCAAGTGGGCCTTAGGAAGCATCAGTAAAAACAAAGCTAGTGGAGTTGAAGGAATTCCAGCTGAGCTATTTCAAATCCTAAAAGATGATGCTGTGAAAGTGCTGCACTCAATATGCAAGTAAATTTGGAAAACTCAGCAGTGGCCACAGGACTGGAAAATGTCAGTTTTCATTCCAGTCCCAAAGAAAGGCAATGCCAAAGAATGGTCAAACCACCACACAATTGCACTCATCTCAAACACTAGTAAAGTAATGCTCAAAATTCTCCCAGCCAGGCTTCAGCAATACGTGAACCGTGAACTTCCAGATGTTCAAGCTGTATTTAGAAAAGGCAGAGGAACCAGAGATCAAATTACCAACATTCATTGGATCATCGAAAAAGTAAGAGAGTTCCAGAAAAACATCTACTTCTGCTTTATTGACTATGCCAAAGCCTTTCACTGTGTGGATCACAATAAACTGTGGAAAATTCTTCAAGAGATGGGAATACCAGATGACCTGACCTGCCTCCTGAGAAATCTGTATGCAAGTCAAGAAGCAACAGTTAGAACTGGACATGGAACAACAGACTGATTCCAAATTAGGAAAGGAGTAAGTCAAGGCTGTATACTGGGAGACAGGCAGTGGCTAATGAAAAGACAAGTCCAAAGAAGTGCTGAAAACCGTGTGGAGGCAATGGAGGGTCTGATGGACAAGGGTTTGAGGGACACTATATGCGAAGATGTCTCAGTCACTTGTAGCTTCCTGGTTGGTGTTGATTCCATCCTTGAAGCCCCAGTCCATTCTGACTACTCTTCTCAGTAGGGAAGACTGTTGACCCCTCACCCCTGCCAAGCTATGTATGGTCCACAAGAGCCACACGTACTATATTTGCTGTCATCTATCCATACAGAAAAAGCATTCCACTCTAGGGGTGTATATGGTGAAAAGTGACAAAAAGCGTTGTTATTACTGTTTCGTTTTACCTACACACCCAAAAATATAGTCCCCGACCTTTCTCTTTAGTAGGGCCAAGGACAACCAGAATCATCTGTTCATAAATTACCAGTGCCAGCTCAGAGGCCAATCTTCCTTTGATGTAGGAACTATGTAATGGACATCCACATGAATAACTCTTCTTGGAAACGCTCATTAGCAAACAGGGCTGCCAGGTTTTTGAACGTTTTATAGAACAGAAGGTGCAGTCGTTCTATTTTTAAAATGCAGGCTTCATTCTGAATCCCATTAGTGACCCCAGCCTGAGCACAAAATTCAGAAACTGGGAAATGGCTCACTGCTCAGTCTGGGCGTGCTGTCTCAGAACAGAGCACCAAGCATGCTTCCCCCGCAGACACACCAGTGTGTGACTTCATTAGTGGACATCAGTCAGGGCTGGTCCACGTGTGCCCACCCACCTGCTCTCTGCTTTTGCTCTGCAGCTTCAAGATGAGACAGTTCTTTCTGCAACATCACCTTTTCCTCTTCCAGCTGTTTACAGGATTTCATCAATAACTTTATTTTACTCTGGGCACGATCGTTTTCCTTCTTCAATTTATCTGCATGTTTTAGATTTTCCATCTATAAAACAAAAGCAATTCCACTTAAAAACCTTGAATGGCTTTTCGTGAGCATATGGAAAAATATTAATGAGATATAATTAAGAATTATATGCTATAAGTTTAAGAACAGGACAAAACATCTAAAGATGCATAAAACAATTCCTCGTCTCTGTTCAGTGTCCTAAGTCCCCCCAGTAAACACTGTGTCTTTGTCCTACTAAGTAAGTAGCCCAATATATCTGTATTTATCCAATGGGAATCACACCCGGGAGGTAGGGGCTGAGGGTCCATGGACATATTCTTGGTGGGCCAAACACTCCAGATGAGAGAATTGTGTTCCCATTTGTGATTCTGTGCTCTGGCACAGTTTCAATACCTAAGATGACATTTGTTGCGTCATACCAAATGAAGGCCAGAGATATGGCTCACAACACTAATTTAAAGCCAAATGATATTATGGTTTATAACATAAATCTAAATGTTATAGTAACTCAAACAAAAAGTGAATAGAATGGTGGGAGAATTATGTCATCAAGCACTTCTTAGTAGTGCATGTTCATAGTTCCTTAAGTACAATTGCAAAATCAAAAAAACAAGTTCTGAAAATGATTTATAGGCAAAACTTGACCTGAACAGATATAAAGGAATTTACAGTCTTTATTTATCCCACCTTGTGAAAATATTCATACATTTTGCTAGAAAACTATGAATTTGATTATGAAATATCACCACAGACTCTGATAGGATATTATGTGATATGTGGCATATGCATTGCATTATCTAATATCTAAGAAATACAGAACTCCAAAACAATCTAGCTCTAAGAATTTCTGATAAGAGATCATAAACATACAACGGCAGACCAAACTATCAAAGAAAAAGAAAGAAGCAGCTTAGCAGCACATTGATGTTACAAATAGATTTCCCTCTTTGTACATTTCACCTTGAAATAATTTTATCAGCAAAGTTGCAATAAATTTGAACTTTCAGAATTTTCTATTTCTGATTCCAAACATAAATGGATTAGAAACAGATTTAATTCAATTTCAACAATGCTTATCAACTTCATAAAATTATGAGATTTGAATAGACTCAACTAACAATGTACCATTTTGTACATATATAAATAGACATTCCCCACAGTACAACTGTCAAAGATTTAAAAAAAGGAGAAAGCAAGTAAATTAAAAAGTAGACCTGAAGCTATTTCTTTCTGTTATTAAACCTAATATCTCTCATTTTGTAGCAACAGGACATTATTGATCATTAATGTTATTTTAAACTTAGTTTGTATTTCCTTGGTATATTTCCTTCACTTTGATAACTGTATAAGACTATCAACATAAGAAATCTATACCTAGTTATCTTAACTTTTCTGAAAGATATTTATTTTCCAGGTTCATATTTTACATTTTGGATGGTATTTGTTTTATGCAAAGTATTTGTGGGAATCAAAACAGCCTCCTTTTCCAGGTAGAATTACTATAGGACTTCCTACAGTCTTAACAATGGAACTTTCCAGGTGGCACAGTGGTAAAGAATCTGCCTGCCAATGCAGGAGACACAAGAAACGTGGGTTGGTTCTCCAGGTAGGGAAGATCCGCTGGAGTAAGAAACAGCAAGCCATTCCAGTACTCTCACCCAGAAAATTTCATGGACAGAGGAGCCCGATGGGCTACAGTCCACGGGGTCACAAAGAGTCAGACATGATTGAGCAACTGAGCCCACACACATAGTCTAACAATACTGAGATTAGGGTTCACCTTCTTTTTTCTAAAGAAAAAAGTTTGATGGTCCCTGCATCGAGAGGAAGAGGAGAATGTATACATATGTATGGCTGGCCAAGTGCTTGGCTCACCTTGAACCCCAAAGTCATGGGAAAGTGGGTTTGGTGACAGTAGTGAACCTGAAGACCAATCATGTAGGACTTTCACCACAAAATCATCATCTATGTCTGGAGGGGTCTGCCGTGATCTATTATTGGCTTGATCTTCATATCCCCCTCAAGAAGTCTCTGGCATCCTCTACTCTGAAGGCGTTCACTGAGCGATGGATAAAGTCTACCCAGGCTATGGAACTGCATGCTGTCCTCTGATCTGTAGAAACAGCTCAGCAGGCAACTGATGAACGGTTTATCACTACAAAAACTTTTTTCGTGAAAAGCAAAATGAAAACACTTAATTTCATATCATTAAAACCACTGGTACATCTATTAGTAACAGTAATAACTTAGCCATTCTAAGTTATGAAGTAATGATAAGTGTACATACCTCGGTTTTCTTCAATTCTTCTAAAAGCTCAGTGGTCGCTTTCAAAGAATTATTGAGTTCTTCTTTACTGGACTTTAAGAGGTCTATCTCCACCTTCTGTGAGCTGAGACATTCCTCCTTAGAAGTCAGTTTCTCTCGATATGTCTGGATTTCCATTTCATGCTAGGGCATAAAAATGTTACTTTAGCCAGGAGGCTCAAGTAAAAACATCATAAGGGAAACAAACAGAAAACTGCTATTCCAAAGATCATGGTTTTTGGAACTCTCTCCAAGATGGAAATGTATCTTTTAAAAACTCAAGGCACAAAATAAGACATGTGCAAATAACTGGGGGAAAGAAAGGGAAGTTAATAGAATGAGACCACTCACAAAATTATGAAGCATAATTATAATACACAACACTGGCTTGCTTGCAAAAAATGCCTCATCACCACCATCAACACATACTCTCCAGCTTGCCCAGTCTCCAGACCACACACTTTTTACCTGTTTGTTTGTATCCAGAAGCAAAGCCTGATGTTTGTTTTCAGCTTCCTGAAGCCGTAGCTGATATTCAGCTATTTCTCCTCTCATTTTCTCTTGCTCTTCCATCTGGTCTTTGTGTACACAATCCAAACTCTTCTTCAATTGACTGTTTTCTAGCATGAGCTCCTTCAGTTGACCCTAATGAGAAAAACAATAAAATTATGGGAAGATAATTAAGAACCTGGACATATATACTTAGCAACTGGAGTGGGTTGCCCTCCTCCAGAGGATCTTCCCAACCCAGGGATCGAACCCAGGTCTCCTGCATTACAGGTGGATTCTTTCCTGTCTGAGCCCCCAGGGGAGTCCAAGAATATTGAAGTGGGCAGCCCATCCCTTCTCCAGGGGACTTTCCCGAACCGGGGTCTCCTGCATTGCAGGCAGAGTATTTACAACTATTTACATAGTATTAGGTATTTTAAGTAATCCAGTAATGGGCTTCCCAGGTGGCTAAGTGGTAAAGAATCTACCTGCCAATGCAGACACTGGAGACTTGGGTTCAATCCCTGGGTCAGGAAGATCCCCTGGAAGAGGAAATGGCAACCCAGTCTAGTATTCTTGCCTAGAATATCCCAAGGACAGAGAAGCCTGGTGGGCTACTGTCCATGGAGTTGCAGAGTCAGACATGACCTAGCAACTGAGCACATGCAAACTTCAAGTATTCGGAGGGATGTGTGTAGGTTACATGCAAACACTATGCCATCTTATAGGAGGGACTTTAACATCTATGAATTTTGAAATCTGGAGGGCCTAGAACCCATCTCCTGTGGATACCGAGGGATGACTATAATTCACTTCAAAAGGTGACTTCACCTCTAGGGGCAATTTCCTCTGTTCCAACCCCAGGTCACCTCCACAAGCAACACGGGATCTCTGAAACCTCAGCTTCACAACTACGATACCCTGGACCAAACCTTCCTTTGCTCTCTGGGCGTCTCACTTTTTTAAGTACTTCTATCACAGTAATTTCTTGACCTCACCAACAGGACCACCAACACCGGTACACTCAAGCCCCTCCAGACTTGCGTTTCCTTCCTTGGCCAGCTTAGGTGCATCTTCTGTCACTTTAAGAACTTCCTGTCACATGCTCCCTACTCCTCTGCCCCTCTCTCCCTTTACGAGGCAGGACTAGAAAAACTGCAGCCCTAGAGGCATCTGGCTTCTCCGTGCCTGATCCCAAATAGCTGTTCCTACATGTATTTATATACATGCTGTGTCCACTTTCTCATCAACCACTCCTCAACCCACTCCAACCTTTTATCCCAGCTCCTCCTGAAATAGCATCATCAAGCTCCATGTTACAAATCCCATTCTTTAGCCCTCATCTCTTTCATCCTCTGAGCAGAATCTGATGCCTCTGACCACTCCTTCAGTCCCGAGACAGCCTCCACTCATGCCTTCAGGAACAGGCCGCTCTCCCGGTTTGCCTCCTCCTGTCGTCCCAGTTTCTCTGCTGGCTCTTCCTCCTCCGTCTCACCCTGCGTGCTAGGGGTCACCTGGGGGTCACCTGGGCTGGGCCCTGAGCTGCCTCTTCTGCACCTTCTCTTCTCGATCTGTATATGTTCTACCATCCTGATAATTTTTAAATACTACCTATATTGTGAACTAGCCAAATTCATGTATCTATCCTAAACCTTCCTTTCAATCACCAGCCTCTTGTAGTTTGTATCATTTTAGATTGTGAAGGAAAGTTATGACAAACCTAGACCTTTGTCAACAAAGGTCCGTCTAGTCAAGGCTCTGGTTTTTCCTGTAGTCACGTATGGATGTGAGAGTTGGACTATAAAGAAAGCTGAGCGCCGAAGAATTCATGCTTTTGAAGTGTGGTGTTGGAGAAGACTCTTGAGAGTCCCTTGGACTGCAAGGAGATCCAACCAGTCCATCCTAAAGGAGATCAGTCCTGGGTGTTCATTGGAAGGACTGATGTTGAAGCTGAAACTCCAATACTTTGGCCACCTGATGCAAAGAGCAGACTCATTTGAAAAGACCCTGATGCTGGGAAAGACTGAGGGCAGGAGGAGAAGGGGACAACAGAGAATGAGATGGTTGGATGGCATCACTGACTTAATGGACATGAGTTTGGGTAAACTCTGGCAGTTGGTGATGGACAGGGAGGCCTGGCGTGCTGCGGTTCACGGGGTCACAAAGAGTCAGACACAACTGAGCGACTGAGCTGAACTAGTTCTTTACCATGTTTTCCTACTGCTCCAACCTTCTTTCATCTTATTTTCCATCTGACTCCAGCCACAATGGCTTCCTTTCAATTTCGAAAATGTCCATAGGTGTTTATAATTTCAGAGTTTTGTTTTTTTCCCCCCTTTAAGGCTGCTCCATGTCTTTGCAGCACACAGGATCTTCAATCTTCATAGCAGCATGCGGGATCTTTAGTTGAGGCATGTGAACTCCTAGTCGCAGCATATGGGACCTAATTCCCCGACCAGGGATTGCACCCAGGCCCCTGGCTTTGGGAGCACGGAGTCTTCGTCACTGGACCACCAGGGAAGTCCCTAATTTCAGAGATTTTGTCACACTGCTCTCGAGACTTAGAAGCCTCTTTCCTTGGTCATGTTCTTCACATGGTGACTTCTTGCCTTGCAGGTGGCATTCTCAGACCATCTTGTCTAAATTAGGTTGCTCCCTACTCCTATACCCAACTTCTCAAACATTCTGCAGGGAAGAATCTTGTTTCCTTTATCATGCTTAACAGTTGTTTTTTAAAAAATACTAATTTATTTATTTGGCAACACTGGGTCTTCACTGCTGCACATGGGCTTTCTCTAGTTGCAGCAAGGAGGGGCTACGCTCTAGTTCTGGTGCCCGGACTTCTCACTGCAGCGGTATCTCCTATTGCAGAGCAGAGGCTCAGTAGTTGTGAACACGGGCTTAGCATCCTCACCGTTTGTGGAATCTTGTTGGACCAGGGGTCAAACCGGTGTCCCCTGCACTGGCAGGCATTCTTATAACCACTGGACAAGTCTTATAGCACTTGAAGAGTTCATGATTATTTTATACATTTCCTATGGAGTGATTTATTGTGTTGCGATGGTAAGCTCTGTGAGTGCAGGAACCACTGGATAGCTATCCTTTGATTTTAGCAGTGTTTACAGAATGAATAAAGCCATTGCAGACCAACAAACTCATACATACAGCCTTCAAGCTGAACACTTAGCATTTTGTTTTTTTAGAAGAGCCTATAAATGAAATGCGAGTAACAATATACTAGGGATACTCTCAGACTGCTCAGTCCCAAGCAATTTCAGCAGGTGCAGGACTTAGATATCATTCATAGGAACTCCCTCCACACAGCATTAGCACAAATCTCATGAACCAATTGCTGAGATTAAACGCCAAAGCTTTTCCATTTTTTAAAATACCATATTTAAAGAAAAGTACAGGGCTTCCCTGGTGGTTCAGTGGTTAAGAATCCACCTTGCAATGCAGGGGACATGCATCCCTGGTCCAGGAAGATCCTTTAAGCCGCACAGCAACTAAGCCCATGTGCCGTAACTACTGCGCCTGGACTCTAGAGCCCATGCTCCACAACAGGAGGAGTCATGGCAGCCAGAAGCCTGAGCACTGCAGCCGCAGACTAGCCCCCGTCTCCATAACTAGAGCAAGTCCACAGGCAGCAACGAAGACAGCAAAGACAAAGTTCAGAATTTCTTAAAAACCTACCTTATTGGGAAAAAAAAGCACAAATTCCCATTTCTTATACAGGCTATTCCAAATATCATTGCAACTTTATGTATTATTCTGGGTCATAATCACAATTATATTTTGCTATCCTTTTCTAAGAACTACTTGAGGATGAAGTTGCACACGGACTATATGAACATAGGAATTTTGCCATCTGGCTGCATGGTAGCTGCTACCTAAGTCTCGTTGTTAAGGGATTCAGGAGAAAGCACATGAATCAGCAATGTCTATTACAGGACCAGCAGCGGGAGTGGCAGCCCAAATGCTATAGTTCTGCCAGCACCCACCCTAAAATAGCAACTCAAGACTGCTCCAATTTTACATTTGACCGTGACTCTCTGTTACTTTGTTAGTTCTCTGCAAGATCAGTGCATCTGTCTCTAGCAACACTCTGGCTTATAATCTGGGGCAGGCCAGGAAAACAGCCTATTGAAAGCTACATGCAATCCATTTCTGGTATGACTTAATATAGTTAGAAGGGCTGTCTTCTATGAAAAACATATCTGGGCTCCTTGACTGGTATTTTCATGTACTTGGGGGCCTTGGACTCCTTCAGGGCTCATGACAGTGCTGGATGGGGAAGATTACTGCAGGTCTGACCATGACATAGCTTTGGGTTATTCTTTTCAAAAGCTAAAAAAAGTTTGATATATTACAGAAGGTCTTACCAAAACAATGAGAGCGTGCATAAGAATTATTAGAGTGTAATGAATCTGTCATAGAGAAACTTACTTTGCTGCTCTTTATTTCTTCCAACATTAAATTTAATTCTTCCGTTAGCCTGTTTCTCTCCCCACTAAATTCTTCTTTTAGTTCCGCCGTTTCTTGTATCATCGCACGCCTTTCCTTCTGAAGCTCAGTTTCTTTCACAGTCATTTTGTTTACCTGAAATTTCATCTTTCATTAGGATCTGCTTATGGTTGTCTATTTGATCATATTAATCACTGTGATACAGCATATTCGTGACATGCACATCACTCCAATAATAAAATAAAACCCAGCGAATCCTCCCGGTACTAATCCACTCAACTGATATTCTCAAAACCGACTGGTAAGCTTACCTTTTCTTTGCTGCAAGATTTAACAAAAAGACAGCAATAAGGAAAAGAATGACAAAAAAAGATAATATTATCAAATCTTAAAATCCTTCATAGAAGTAATGATTTGAATTAAACATCAGAAAGTATTTACGAGGCAGTGACTTAATCTATCAGCCCTTGGATCTCTTATGTATTCTCCAGAGCCATGCTAAAATACAAGAAACAGGATGATGGTTTGTTAAAACCAGTTAAAGCAGGATTGTTTGCATCCATCCCTACACCAGACTGAAATAGACAAATAAAGTTTGTCTAATTGTCTCTACCATAACTGCTGTCACTTACAAGCTATGCAAAAACTTGAAATTCTTGGAAAATATTGAGGTATGATTGACTGTATTTTCTGGACAATCTACTTATTCAATAAAAACTTAATTTGAAGGAATCACTTTTCTAGATCAGTAAGTATAGGGAAAAATTTTAATTTTTCTTTAATAATTGAGCTTCTTGATGGCAGATCTTCCCTTTCATCATCAGCTAACAAAACAGGAGACTGCCCAAAGAGAAGGTACAAAAGAGGGGGCTGAAAGCACAAAATCCCTACAGGGGACATGCCCTGGGAGCCATGAGGGTTCTATTGGTTATAATTATATCAGTATCTTTAATAGTTCTTTCTCCTAAAGGCAAAAATGGCAGGGTAGAGGCAAAAGCGATCTCTACTGATTCTGACTAATACGTGTTACACTCTCTTCAGCAGTGGTACTCAACTGGGTATGGGGATGGGGGCTACTGTTCTAATGTACTACAAGAAATGAACCAGGCACAGCCCAGAGCTGCTTCCCTGCCCAGTCGTCACTGTGAAAACTGGGCCAATCCACAGAAGTACCCCCTGGAAGTGTGCGCCAAAGCTAAGAGTCACTCACTGTAGGAACCAAGTCAGTATCCCCCGCAGTTCAAGACCCCCAAACTTAAAGCTTTTACAAAGTTTGAGCCAATACAGCAAACACTGTCCACAAGGAAACAGAATTCACACAGTGGCTGCCCCTCCTCCTGACAACAGATTCAAATATAAAGACATAAAGCCACTTACTTTTTCAACAAACGACATATTTTCCAATTTTGTCAATGCAAGCTCTTTCTCCAGATTCCTGGAAGAATTCTGCAGAGCTTCTAAGGTGTCCTGCAAAGCATCATTTTTGGATTGCAGCACCTGAATCTTCTGCTCCAATTCCACCATCAGATTTTCCAGGTCTGCCTTTTGCTTCTTCCAAAGTTGCTGTTCTCCTTCCATCTGGGACAGTTTAGAGACAAGCTGCTGTTGGTCCTGAGTCTGACTTTTTAGTATACTGATTTCTTCATCCTTTTTCTCTAGTTTCTGTTTGCCATCTTCAACTTCTTGAATGAGGTCATTCACAGAAGACTGCAAAACCATGTAATTACTTTTGGCATCATCAAGGCCCTGCAGCAACTGAGCCTTCTCATGTTCAAGGGAGTCTACTTGACTACTCAGGCTCTGTTCTTTGACCTTCCAGGTCTCTTGGTCATCACCCAAGGCTGCCACTTTCTCTTTCAGCTCTTCTAATTGTGTTTGCAGCATCTCCATTGCAGCTTTAGATTCTACCTTCATCTGTACTTTTTCTTGCTCTTTTTCTCGCAACAGATTTTCAAATGAAGAATTTAATGTTTCTAATTCAGATACTCGACTCTGCTCTTTTTGTAATTCTTTAGTCAGATCCTCTTTTTCTGATCTTATATTGACAAGATCTAATTCCAAACTTCTCAGATTTTGGTCCATCTCCTCCATTGTTGCTTTCAGGGTCTCTACTGCTTTGGACTTCTCAGCCTCAAGAGCCACGTGCTCTTGGTTTTCTCCTGATAGCTCGAGTTTTCTTTCAAGGTTCTCAACTGTATCCTTAAGGAAATCTGCCTGATGCTCACTCTCCTTCAGTTTTTCTAAGATATGGAGCTGCTGCTTTTTATCAGCATCTAGGCAGACTTTCAGCTTTCCAATGTTATTTCTCAGCTGTTGTACCTCCTCACCGGGGGAGTCCAGCCTCTGTTCTTCAACCTTCCAGGACTCCTGGTCAACACACAAGGCTGCTATTTCCTCACTCAGCTCTTTCAATTGTGTTTGCAGCATCTCCACTGCAGCTTTAGATTCTTCCTTCATCTGTACTTTTTCTTGCTCTTTTTCTCGCAATAGGTTTTCAAATGAAAAATTTAATGTTTCTAATTCAGATACTCGACTCTGCTCTTTCTGTAATTCTTTAGTCAGAGTCTCTTTTTCTGATCTTATATTGACAAGATCTAATTCCAAACCTCTCAGATTTTGGGCCATCTCCTCCATTGTTGCTTTCAGGGTCTCTACTTCTGCTTTGGACTTCTCAGCCTCAACAGTCACATGCTCTTGGTTTTCTCCTGATAGCTCGAGTTTTCTTTCAAGGTTCTCAACTGTATCCTTAAGCAAATCTGCCTGATGCTCACGTTCTTTCAGTTTTTCTAAGATATGGAGCTGCTGCTTTTTATCAGTGTCCAAGTAGACTTTCAGCTTTCCAATGTTATTTCTCAGCTGTTGTACTTCCTGGGCAGGAGAGTCCAGACGCTGTTCTTTGAGCTTCCAGGCCTCCTGGTCATCACATAAGGCTGCTACTCCCTCACTCAGCTCTCTCAGTTGTGTCTGCAGCAACTCCATTGCAGCTCTAGACTCTTCCTTCGTCTGTATCTTCTCTCGCTCCCTTTCTTCTAATAGGTTTTTCAGTGAAGAGAGTAGCGTATCGAATTCAGACACCTGACCTTGTTTTTCTTGTAGTTGTTTCAAAAGATTTTCTTTTTCAGACCGTATTGTGACAAGGTCTAATTCTAAATCTTTCAGGCGTTCAGTCATCAATTCTATTTGTGTTTTTAGGGTCTCCACCTCTGCTTTGCAATTCTCAGCATCAAGAATCACCAGCTCTTGGTTTTCTTCTGCCATCTGCAACTCCCTTTCAAGGGTCTCAACCTTGTCCTGAAGCGAGTCATTCCTCCGCTCGCTTTCCTTCAGCTTCTCTGAGACATGGAGCTGCTTCTTTTCATCAGCCTCAATGCGGACCCTGAGCTTCTCGATGCCTTTTCTCAACTGGTGCACTTCCTCTTGCGTGGAGCTCAGCCTCACCGCGACCTCACCTTTCTCCATCAGCGCAGCCTCCAAGGCCTTGGAGATAGTCAGCTTTTCACCCTCCGACTCGCTCAGTTTGGTCTGCAGGCTTTCGGATTCCCATACAAGTGAGTCTTTCTCTTTATTTAGTTGTTCAATTTGGTTTTCCAGCTCACTTCTTACCAGAGACAGTTCCTGTGAATCCTTTTCCAAACTCTGAAGCTCCTCTTGGAGATGCAGACACTCACTTTGATGAGATTCAAGCTCTCGTATTTTCTCCTTCATCTTTTCAGACATCTGATCTAGCTCTTGATTTTCTTTTGACGAAGTATTTAACTCTCCACGAAGCTGGTCTCTCTCACTTGTGACCACTAAGAGTTCTTCCTCAAGACAAGTTATAACTTTTTGTTTATTTTCATTGTCTTTTTCTAAATATAGTTTCTCTGTTTGAACTGCCTCTAAGCTGGCTTCCACAGAGAGGGCATGATGCTCCATGCTATCTTTCTCAGACTGAATCCTCTGTAGCTCATTTTCCACCTGGAGACATTTCTCTCTCCAGTTGTCAGTCACCTTGGCTACATCATCTTCAATACCTTCATGCGGCAATTTGCTTGTGCCCACTTCTAAGTTAGAGGTGAGACCTCCTGAACTTTCTTCTCTCTGGTTATGACCAGAAAAGGATTCCAATTTTTCATTTAAATCTAATTTTTCTTTCTTAAGGTCCTCAACTATTTTTTCCAATGCCACACATGCTTCACTCTTGGTAGTTAGTTGTACTTCCAGTAAATGGAATTTTGAGTCTAACTCTTTGATTTCATTTAGCAAGTTTTCAACTTTTTGGTCACGTTCCTCTATGCCATGAAGTAATCTCAAGTTCTCATCTGATGTCTCTTTTACCTTCAGCTCGAGACTCTGAGTGGTTACCTGATTCTCCAGAAAATCCCTAGGCACCGAAGCGTTAGGCCCAGAGAGGGACAGTTCAGAAATGCATTCTGAACAGCCCTGGGCTGGATCTTCCACTGGGGTCTCATGACTGGCTTCTGAGGACTGCTCTCTGGACCATTCTTCTCTAAGTTTGGTTGCACCAGTCTTTGTTATTTTCTCCATCTCTAGACTGAGATCCTGCTGAACATCTTTTTCACAAATCTGATGAATCTCACGCCTTGGGGTCCTCTCTTTAGTTTCTGAAGTATATTCTTCTGATTCTCTTATGTCACAGCTATCGTTTACACCCAGAACAGCCTGTAGTTGCAAAATATAATAAGAATGCACCTTACTTTTCAAGAAGAATCAGAATCGGCTTATTATTTCTTGGAAACTAGATACTTGTCTCTGCTAAACACACCTCTTCAAATGGCATACTGCCTACCAGATTCACCTCTCTCCTTCCAAACAGTCAGCACAATTAAACATTCAGGAAGTGCTCTCTATGTGCAGGGTCCTGGGTATTTATCAAGAAGACAAACCCTTCAGCTCAATTATGTGATCATCTAAATTGTGATGTAGTTATATTTCAAAATTTTTTTCTTGTTAGGAATATTCTAAGTAGCCAAATTTGAAATTTTCTTTGGGATTATCAAATAAGAGACTAACAAGTTCCAAATAAAATGGTCAGCTTCCATCTTCAGCATTTATGACACTCTTTGATAAGAGAAGGCAGTAAGGCTTCATGACCAAATTCCCAGGTCAAGGACTTAATCACTTAATATAAGTGGCTTATATTATATCACTTCATATTCTTGGATAAATCACATGTTTGAACCTCCCCTTCTCTTATCTGTAAAGTGGGGATCTGCTACTTTGACCACAATTGCTACCACCTCTCCACCTGCCTTCTACCACCTTACAGAGGTACCGGGAGGGAATTAAGTGAGACTCACTGACTGTACACCATTAGTAGTTTAGCTGGTAGACTAGAAAAGACAAAGGTGTAAGTAACTAAACAACTTTTTATTCAATAAAGAAAAAAGTGTCTCTTAGAATAACTGATATCAAATCATAAGATTTGTACCCAAGCAAAGTATTAGAAAAGTATTCAGAATTACATAATAAACACTAATATTTAGTTTCATGACTATAACTCTGTAACATTAAAAACAGTCTGAAAAGGGTAAGAGAGGCAAAAATTCCAATCACCTTACCATTCCTAAGGTCCAGTTTGAGATTCAATGTGCTTTATTAACTCACAAAGTGAAAACATAAAGACATCCTCAAGAAGACAGTCTGACTCTATAACATGATTTTCTCTAGGAGACTTTAAAAAACCTCTGTAGTAATGTCCAATATAAGAGTGTTTAAAGATAATCAGGATAGAAATTACCCCCCAAATTCTGGCTTATTTTTTCAAAACTGTGGTATATTTTTCTCTTATTTCCTTAAACCGTAAAAATATTTTAATTTGGATTTAATGTCAATCTCAACAAACACTGCGTGCCTGCTAGGCACGCGATTAGAGAAAGGGCACGTCAGTCCCGTGTACTTACATTTTCTATGTCGGCGCCAAGCAGAGACCGAGAGCTTAGGTCCAGACCCTGTAGCTGGAGCCGCGCCGCCTCGAGCTCAAGCGTCAGGCGCCCCGTGTGCTCCTTCTCAGCCGCCAGCTTGGACTCCATCTCGGCTGTCACGTCGGTCAGCTTCTGCTGCCACCGTTCATTCTCCGACAAACACTGCTTCCTGAGGTAGGCGAGCTCCTCCCTCGAAGAACTCAGTAACTCCTTGAGCTCTTGGATTTCCTTGTTTTTCGTAATCCCTTGACTTTCAATTTTCTCTTCCAGCTGCTTGAGGGACTGGAGGTACGTCTGACAGAGGGTCTCAGGTTCTCGCGCGCTCCTCAGCGGGGCAGAGGGGATTTCCTTCTCGGTCAGATTCTCCTCCTCCTCCTCCTCCAGACTACTGCAAGAGACTTCCTCCACAGTGGACTGGTTTGCTGAAACAGTCCCTTCTAAATTATTCAAGAGGGAGGTTTCTGCTGTGTGCTCTAGAAGATCTCTGTAGAAAGAGGACTCCCCCAAACCCGCGTTAGCAGGGCTGTCAGTCACACAAGAGAATGACAAGGACAGTAAATGCTCCTCCCCACGTCCTGGCACCACCTCCTTCACCGAGTCACCTTGAGAGCTTCTCAGACCCATGGACAAGATGGAATTTTCAGCCTTCAACGTGTCAACGTAGGACTGCAGCTCTGACATCTTAGAGCTCATCAGACAGTGCTGATCATGTAAAATTTTGTGTTCACTCTGTAAAGATGAAAATTTCTCCTGTAATTCAGCAAAGTGCATCTGAACCTCTTTCTTTGACATGGTCAAATGCTCACAGAAATTATTGTCATCCAAAGGATTTAAGTTCGCAGACGTCTGCTCATCTTGTTGTTCACCAAATTCACCTTCTGGCGTTTCTTCCACTAACTCGCCTTGGAGAAGTCCATTTTCGTCATTTAATGTTTTAACTTCATTTACGAGTTTCCCTACCTCTTCTGCCATTTTACTAGTTGCTGTGATACATTCTGATCTTGAGTCATTCAGCTCACATATGAGTTCAGACTTTTCAACCTGCAGGGCTTCACACATTTTCTCTAACTCATTCAGCTTGTTCATGGCTGTCTGTAGAGAGCACTGCAGGTGGGCATTGTCCTGCTGACTTGTTGACAACTCATGAAGCACTGAAATATATTTTTCTTCTGGATCTATTTCAGAGTCTCCAAGGCCACTAATATCTTGTGACCGAGCATCTTGTTGCAAATCTTCAGTTTCTAATTCTCTAGTCTGTAATTCGTGCTGGAGACACTCTTCCTTTTCACTTTGCTGAAGTTTTAATCCCCTGTTTCTGACTTTAGTTTCTACTTGCACCAGTTGTGCACTGTAAGTGTCTAGAGAAGTATCTTTAACATCAAGATCCATCGGAAGTTGAATGTGACATGTATTTATCTCCCTCTCTCCTTCTTTCTCAGAGTCTTGAATTGGTTCCAATTCTAGACATTGATACTCATGTTTCGTCTTCATTAATTCCATCAGGTGCTCATTCTCTTGTAATAAGGCATTAACTTCCTGTTGCATCTTATTTTGTTCTTCCTTTAAATTCATGATTTCTTGCTTTAAACCATCGGCCTCCCTCTTGGAACTGTTTTGGATATCTGTAATCTCAGACTGCAGGGCTTGCTGCACTGTCTCCAACTCCAGAATTAAATTCTGGTTTCTTTCTTCAGCTAATGCTAACTGTGATACAAATGCTTGGTGTTCTCTTGCAAATGCTTCCTTTAGCTGTCCTAATTCATTTTTTCTGTCTTCACAAACACCCGTGCACTCACTCAGCAAGCATTCTAATTTAGAGTTCTTTTCCTGAACCGCTTTATATTTTTCACTAAGATCCCGAAATGCATTTCCTGTTTCTTCACATCTTTGTAGTAAAGTAAGTCTTTCTTGTTTGTACTGATTAGATAACTCTGAAATGCTTTTGTCTCTTTCATCTATACAGTTTGAAAAACTCTCGGTTTTTTGGAGCAAGTTCATCTTCTCTTGAGTTAAGGTGGCATTAATTTCCTTGAGAGTCGCATTCTCTTGGGTCAACACTTCAATGTCCTTTTTATTTAGAGAAAGGATGGAATTCAGTTCCTTTTTCTCCAAGCTCAGGGATTCGGACAAGAACTGTAGCTCCTTTAGAGATTCCTGTAGTAAATGGTTGTTCTTTTTTAACTCTCCAATCTCTGCCTGCTCCGTTTCTAATTTTTCATTCAAAAGTTGCAACTCTCTTTCCTTGCTCTCCAGGGCAGCTAAAGTTTCAGCAACAACATTCTGATGAACAGAAGTGTCTTCTTGTAACTTACTAATGCGTTGACTTGTTTCAGCCACAAAACTTTGATGCATCTGTTCTGCTTTCATGAGGTTTTCTTCAATTTCTCCTTTGATCTGCACCAACTCTTCACACTGCTTCTGCAGATCTGAGTTCATCTGCTTTTGCGACTCTAAGGAAAATTCGAGAGAAACGACTCTATTTTGCAACATAGATGAACTTTTAGGACTTTGGTCTGTGGCTACACGGCATCCGCTCCTTTCTGAAGGCACACTTTCTTGCTCTCCAATTATATTTGTGAAGGAATTGTTCAGTGCAGACTGCTGTTCAAAAGCCAAACAACTTCTCTGATGAGGCTCACTTATTACCACAGAGGAATCTCTAGATTTTAGCAGATCCCTTAGGTTCTCAGATTCAGCATGCAAGTCTTGGTAACGCTGGTCTTTGTCCATGATTTCACTTGACAGTAACTGAAGCTTATGTTCTAGGTCTTCCACTTGCCCAGTGAGGTGAGAGATTTTCAAACACATATTTTCTATTTCCTTCTCATGTTTCTGATCTGAGAACTCAGCTTTCTGTTGCAGTTCTCCATAAGCTCGTTTCTGTGTCTCTGCCTCCGCAGTCTTGCTGTCAATCACATTTTGAAGGTTCCTGATCTCCACGTTTAGATTTTCTCTTTCCATCTCCAGGGTTCTTACCCTCTCATTATATTCATGACTTTTTATCTGTTGTGTCTTAAGACAAGTTTCCAAGTGATTAACTTTACTCTGCAAGCTTTCCTTTTCTGATTCCATCTGATTTAAAAGTTGTTCGTTTTCACTTTTCCAGCGAGAAAACAGAGTTTTCTCTTCTTTTAGTTCTTCATATTCTTTCTTCTTTAATTCCAAAGCGTTCAACAATGCTTCAGATTCTCTTTCTGTTTTGCTTAACTTTTCGTTCAGTTGTTCAATGTGATGTTCCCTTTTCTTCAAAAGGTCTTGAGAACAATCTCGCTGCTTTTCCAGGTCAGCCAAGGCAAGCTTCAGTTTCTCTAAAGTCAAGGAATTCTCTTGCTGATTTATCTTTTCTTGAAGATCTCTTAACATGGTTTCCTGAGAGGTATTCTTAGCTATTAAAATAGGAGAAATATATTTTTAAGTTGTCATGGCTTTAATAAATATTTATTCTACAAGAATTCTAAACTCAAAAAAAAAAAAACAGCTTAAGTCATGTAAAAACTGGCATTACTGCCTGCATACCTCCTTGAAAGTAAACCACCAGACAATTATCTAAACTCATATAAAGAAAATGAGAAAATGGTCCTTTTCAGGATGGCAATACATGTGTTTATCTTCTTTATAAGCAGCATAACAAAGTGCTATTGTATAAAACACCAAGGGGTTATTCTCCTAAGCACTTGAAACTTTCTTTTATTCTTTTACCTTGTATATGCTTATGTATATGCATATTTTTGCCCTTTGGAAATAGCTATTCAAGGAGAGAAAAGTGCGAGGAGCAGCACTAGGATGGAAACATCCCACATCACTGTGCAATATCCCCGACATCTCAGAAAAGTGAGTCACTTCTTCGCCATTTTAGCCAAAAATGCATAGGATCAGGCTTAAGGACAGAGTATGTGTTGCTACAGGGAATTATACTGAAGTATTCTGTAATAACCTATAAAGGAAAATAACTTGAAAACAGCTATGTGTGTATATATATATATGTATGTATGTATAACTGAATCACTCTGCTGTACAACCAAAACTAACACAACATTGTAAACCAACTACACTTAGATTAAAAAATGTACATTTTTTTCCAAAGTATATATGGTTCTATATATCAGCAACCCTCGAAGCATACACAGGAATATCACTGAGGAGCAATGGCCCCACACCCCAGCCCCTCAGTCAGGGTGGTGCCTGTGAAGATGAGAACCATCAGGAAGCTGTCATAGACTCCATCACTGCCTGTTCTCTGCTCAAAAACTCCCCTCTGCCCACAGGCCTCTCCCAGTTGAGAATAATCACATTGCTTTCATTCAACAATGGGAAGCCTTCCCAAGAACGCCGAGAAACAATAAAAGTTAAGAATCTCAGTAGTCGATGAGAAAGGTAGCATGTATTATAAACTCAGGTGTTATACCAGTTGGGCAGTAATTCCTCTTTTTAGCCCGCTAATCTCCATCTACCTACTGAGAGTGGATGGCTGCTGCGGACAGCGCCATAGAGGCTATTTGCTTGTGAGAGCCCCAAGCAACACTGAAAAAAAATCCCTAACTCTTTCTTTTCCTATAGTTTTCTTTCAAAAAATCTGAAGATTGATATTTCTACCTCCTGCCATGGAAAATTGAAAGCTGTATGGAGATATTAGAATTTAAAAAAGAAAAGAATCAGAAGTGCTCAGGTTAAAAGAAATCCAAGACATGCAAACACCCCAGGGGAGAAAATAAATCTAAATAAAGACACATTCCACATACAAATAAATGTGAAACAAACAGTGGAATCATTTGGTGTACATAGCATCATCCTGTGGCTATATAGAAAGTAAAGAAATAAAATCATTCAGTTAAGTAAGCCATCCAAAAACAATGGTCACTAAGGGCTGGGAAAACATGCATTTAATATAGAATTTTCCATTATAAGGGAAACGGTAATGGGTGAGAAGAGAGCCGTCTGGATATAACTAACAAACCCACTTGAGACACAAAATAGCACGCTGGGGAAAGAGACAGCACCAACAATTTACTTTTGTGTGGAAAATATTTACCCTTCTGGTTTCAAAGTGCTGAAAACCAGGCATTTGGGGACTCCGTGTGTTCCAATAAAAAAAAAAGTCCAACTATCACTCTGGAAACTAAAAAAGTGGAAAAGCAAAAACTTTTTCCACATCAGCTGCTGAAATCTCTCTGGGAGAAGATATGGAAAAATTCAAAGAAGTTTCTAATGACATCCACCCTCCCTCGAGGGAACATTTGCCTAGAGAAAGAACTCTAAAATGCCACTCACCCTTCATTTCTTCTGCAAAATTCTGGCTCTGACTCAAACACTGCTTGGCCTTCCTCAGTTCTTCCTCCAGGTGGCAGACTTCTCGGGCTCTCTGCTCAGACTGACTCTTGAGGAAGCTGTTTTCCCTCTTCATTTCCTACAAGACAGGTTTAGTTAGTTATCTTACTGTCCTGACAGATGCTCAAGCAACTCAGCCCTTCTGCCTTGGTGGGACTTCTGTCTCATGGGACCGTGTGTGCATCTCACTTGCCCTTTGAGCAATGAAGTTAGATAGTTTTATTTCAATAAAATGATATCATAAATAGAAGTCAGAAGCACGAAACCTAAGAATTGATGATAATCTTTTTCCTTTAAGAAGTTTACTTTTTGAAGCATTCGCTCATAAGAAAAACCCTTTTTACAAGCTCCCTAAAGACACAATCGCTCCAAGTTTCCATCACGCCTAAATAATCAAAAATATCTTTGCTAAGTTCCGAGGTGCTAACGAACCAAAAAAATTCTTGTGACGATTTTTGATGTTTTGTTGTAAAACTATCTAAAGTTTCACTGCTCTATGGGAATGTCTTTATGAGTAAAATTACCTTTAAGAAATGTTTATTAAAATCTGCAATGTACAAGATGTTGGAATGGGCATTATGAAAGGTGCAGTTACAAATTAAGACAGTCTCTGCCCTCAAGACAGGTACCTGCCTGAGGGGGCTATCACTTAATACATGGCAGGATGTGTTATATGCTTAAGAGAGGTGAAGTGTGCTATGAGAAATGAGATGGCTGGAGCATGGAAGGATCAGTTCTCGGTGGAGGAATCTGAGGCTTCCCAGTGAAGACAGGTCCTTTGGTGAGTACCTGACTAAATGAAGAGCCGTGCATTGATGTGCCATAGAATAGCAGAGACACACACGCAGCCTCATTCTATTTTCTAGGGAGACCTATTTTTCTTAGTCTTAAAACGAAGCAATATTTGTCTGCCAAATAAAAACGCTTCTTATTAACCATGTGACTTGCATACATAATCAACATTATAACTCCTCTATCCATATTCCTCAACCTGCTGTTCAACCTTCAATGATATTACAGTTGTTAATTATTTCAACCTATATTATACGGCACCTTCTGGATCACTGGGAATTGGCATGTATCATTACAAGCTGACAGAACTAAGCAACCCCATCCTTGGAGTGGTGGGGAGGGGAAACTCATAAGCCTAACTTTAAAAGCACACAAACACACTTAAAAAAGTATTCCTCTGAGAAGTAAAGGAAATTTCTGAATTCTTAAAGAAACAGTTAAGACCCATCCTCCAAAACCCTACTGCACCGTTAGAAAACAGATGGCCCTGGCAACGTGGTGCTGGAAGCCTGCCTTCAATTATCAGTCTGGTTACTACCAGCAGATGGGTACTGATGTAGCAAAGCCAAATTCAAGAAGAGGGAGAATCTGGCTGGTACAAAGTACTTGAAAACTTGCTGGCGGCTGCTGTGTTCGTGTATATATGTTCATTTCATCATCAAAATTTAAGAGCCCGTTGTCATTGTATTTCTGTCTCCTTTGTCTTGATCTTCCCTCCTTTCCATGCACTCAACTGAGTAAGACTCTATCAAATTAAGAGATCCACCAGAACTAAAGGCCCACACAGACTCATGTCAAGACTGACGTTCATACCAGTCATTGTGAAATTCTGCACAGGATGAATGATCACTAAGGTGCAAGGATGTGATTGACTTAAAGGAGCATCATTCAGCTAGAGAATGTGTAATCACTTGTTTGCTCTTCAGACTCAGAATATTCACCACTCAAATGAGAGCACAGATGTGAAAGGAAAATACCTTTACTCACTCTAAGGCAGGCAATGGGGCATCAGTAGTAGTGTTTCTTCCTAAAATTCAGCAGCAGCTAGATTCTGTGTGTTCAACGCTCAGATCAGCTAAATGAGCTCAACATAGGAGAGTAACTAGAATGTAACCATCTAAGTTGCATTTTGCAACTTGTATTTTTTGCTCTAAAAAAATCATTGAATCAAAGGGCATCTACATCTAGAGGTGTGACAAGAAAACTGACAAGACTGTATGCAAAGCTGGGTGCATCCCAGCAGGAGAAGGAAAGGTGAAAAGAAGAGGAAGGAGGGACCCCAGGAGGGAGGGGGACAACTGATGTTTATGTGTCTGTTCGTCTATCCATCATGTCCATAACTGGAGACATTTAAGTGAACACTAAACCCAGTGGAGAGATTAACATGCCTTTATTCTGGCATTAGGTCCGTAAATATTTGTTTCAAATAAAGAAACATTCAGCCAACCCCAGGACCCTGCAGGCTTATCATGCTATGGCTATGGCCAACCCAAGAATTTTAAAAGGCCAGAATTTAGAAAATGAATATCTGAAAATGAAGCTGTAGGCTGCCATCCATCAGCAATTAGTTTTCTGCACAGCTTACAGCCACTTAAGACTTGATTGGGTAGCTCATTAGCAACAATGAGTTAAGCATACAAGGATACAGTCTCCCAGGCATCTCTCGCCACCAAACATGATTCGAAAAATTGGGCACTGGTCTGGAAACACACAGCAAAAATCCCTATAACCACAAGCCAGCATTAGAGCTTAGCAAGCAATTCCACCCAGAGCAACTCTGGTTTTAGAAGCAGCAAGGGAAGTGTCATTTCCTAGGGCCAGACAAAACACATTTCAGTTACTGTGTGGCATCTCGTGATCGCACCCATGAATGAAGCTTAATATGTCCCCTGCTGGCGTGAAGTCTATATGGTGAACCAGGGATGGATGCAAAGGATGTGTTTCTCCCCTTCCACCTCATCATTCTTGCCTGCCAGACCAGGTCCCTTAGAGGACCAAGTGTCATACAGGTCCCCACGCGCAGGAAGGTCCCCAAGCAAGTGTTCCCTCATCTTGGCTGTCAAATGATGGTTTATGATCATCTAACCCCACACTATGGGGCTGGCACTAGATGTTGGATGAGCAGCCTAGCTAAACCCTCCATTCACTTTGATACTAAATGTTAACTTTACCCTTGATTGGGCCATTAAATCACGTTTCCACTACTGATAATTTCTCATTGTGAGCAGCATATTAGTTTGCTAAACACGGACAAGGAACATTTCAGTACAACTGTCACATAATTTCAGCATCCAAAACCTATAAGCGCACTAAACTTGCTTGCACTTACTTATAATTAGATACAGAAAGACACCCAGAGTGATAGACTAGAATAGGCTATAATTTTAAATGTGAAAAATCTCAAATGCCGTGTCCTTTGCTCATCACTTTCTGTGCCTATGAGTGACAGCAAACAGTGGTCACACCAAAAAGTTCCAACAGTTATCAAGACCAAAGGGCCCTTATGGACTAGGCACAGGTCTAAGCACTTGACATACAATGCTTAATTTAAACCCTTCTGAAAAGGGAAGGGTTTTATTAGTCCTCATATGAAGATAAGGCGAGTCAGACTCAAAGGGTAAGTCATGGTCCCGAGGCCACACAGCAGGTTCAGATCTCAGTGCATCTAAAGCCACCATTTTACCACAAAGTTATACCACCCGTCAAACTGGGTAGATTGTTTTTCTGATTCCAATCCTAATTCAAAATGTGAGAGCCAGCTAAGCCCTTTGAATTTTTGATATTATTCTCAAAAGAAGACACATACACACAAACATGCATTGAAGACTATTTCTAAATGAATTCCCTGGCCCCGTACTAGACACTTCCATGACTGCCCTCACTGGACACAGAAATTTATGAAATATTGAGCACAACATGACTGGCATTGAACTCAGCACAGCTCGAGTTCATGGTGGACAGCTCCTCGGCTGACAAACCAGACCCTGCAGGGACGCATGAGTCTTCAGAAACACCTGCAAGAAATGTCCAGCTCGCTATGCAAAGCGTTTGGCCAGGCAAACCGTTTGAAAAGTGTTTGGACCCATTTAACCAGACGATCGCTTTTACAAAATGTTTCCACCAGGCAGCCAGTGGAGTCGCAGGAGAGTTCCTGGCTGAAAGGAAAGCTCAGAGAGGGAAGAGCTCGGTGCCAGTCTGCCTGTGGAAATGTTAGCAGAAGCATCTGTTGGTTGGTCCCCACTGGCCAAAAGGCAAACATTTGTTTTGCTGAAACAAACGCTTCCATTTAAAAACGTTTGCTGATGAAACCATCATCTGATATGAAGCTTTCCTCCACTCAGGCGGCTGGGGTTGTGGCTGCCTCTTTCCAGCAATATTACCCCTCTGAGGCTATAGCTGCTTTAACAACCCCTTCTTTGCCACTGACAGATGTTCTGATTCTAGAACCAATACACTTTGAAGCTGAGAGGATAAATACATTTAGACTTGTCTCACCTGGATAAATCACTGTTCCTTACAGAGAACTTAAAAAGAAAAAAATCTATACAATCTAACAAGTAATTTTAGATATGTAAAAGATCTAATATTTTATAAAATTATTTTTTAAAACTAGTGAAAAATAGTCTTCCCTGTGACATTTGATCGAGAAGAAACTTCTACTGTTCTGCTATGCTTCTTCATAAAATTATGATGCTGACTTATGGCTCTATTCAAATTGTTTCAGCCTACTAACTATCCCTAAGTGGTTTTTAATTAAGTCCTTTAAAATAAACTCCAAGCAACTAAAGAAATTCAGAGAGAACCAAATTAAGTACAGATAAAATCTATTGGTAGAAGCAATATCAAGCTACTCCTTGTATCCTCGTCACTGGGAAACCTCATCCACCATTGTGTATCACGACCATGCCTCTACGAAGACACCGTCACCCACGCCTGCACATGTTTAACATGAAGGTTAGTGTGTGACTGCTGAAGCCAGAGTAATACAATTTTTATTGCTTGATGCTTTTGTAACAATGTTAAAACTAGAAACCCTTTCTCTGCCAAAAAAGTTTTATTTAAGTCTATCACTTTGCACAAGGTTTTTGATACTTGATGATTCAAAAGCCAACCCTTGGAAAGAGGACTTAAATCATACCTTCTATCACCAACTTTGTTACTTCTCACTTAGAAAATCCCTTGCGGGACTTCCTTGGTGGCCCAGTGGTTAAGAGTCTGCCTGCACTGCAGGGGACACCGGTTTGATCCCTAGTCCAGAAATATCCCACATGCCATGGGGCAACTGTGTGAGCCTGTGTGCTGCCACCACTGAGGCTGTGCTCCAGAGCCCCTGCTCCTAACAGGAAAAGCCACCGTAACCAGAGAAAGCCTGTGCAGTGAAGACCCAGTGCAGCAAAAATTAAATACATTTTAAAAGAAAAAAGAAAAAAAGAGAAGAAAAGAAAATCCCTTGCTTTCTTCCATCCTTCCACTTCACAGGTGGTTTAAATATATCTTAAAATAATAAACAGTACTACCAAATGGTCTTACTACAAGTCAGGTTTTCCTATAATTGCTAGATGCATATTAGTAACTTACATCAGAATAGAAAGTGAAAAAACCACTTACGTTCTATGTCATAGATTATATACAAAACACTTTGTAATACTTCTGGCAAATAAAAAAGAAAAACACTGCTGGAAAACGGTGCAGAAATTCTCTAACCCTGGCACTTCCTCATGCACAGAAGCGAATGAATGCTCTCTGTTCCTCACCTCACTGTTTCTCCTCAGCTCGCTTTCCTTGGTCTGACTTGACTGTAAGGCCTGTTCAGTTCTGCTGAAATTTTGCTTAAACTCTTCCAATTTTTTTTCTAGCTGTTGCTTTACAGACATGACCTGCAAAGAGAAAACAAGGCAAAGCTTCATTTTTGTTTTTACTTTTCAAGTAGCTATTCACTCTTAAATAATAAAAAGGTCATGGAGTATAAGAACTGAAGCGATCTATTTTGGTTGAGACATACTATATATGTTATAGCTTAACATGGTCCTAGAAGTGGAACTTAAAATACCATCATGTTAACCCATGACATCACCTGGCAATAGAATATGTTGATGAATAATGCTGGGCTTGGGGAGGAAACCACGAAAGAAAAAAGTTAACCACAAGAAATAAAACTAAATAGTAATAAACAACTAAAACTTGTTTAAAAAAAAATGAGATGAGAAACAACAGCAGCAAAAGATGGGAAAACAAACTCAGAGAACATTTGCAATAAATACAACAGAATAAAAATGATATTCCCAAAATACAACACATAAAGCATATCTATGATTCAATGTACAAAAAAGCAAGCCCATTTAAAAATGAGCAAAAGACAGAAATTTTATACAAAAGATATAAATGGCAAGTCACCCTCTGAAAGAAATAACCTCAGTGGTAATCAAGAAAGTGTGAATTAAAACAATTACAACATTTTTCACTCTTTGGCAAAATTTTTAAAATCAGGACTGTCTGCTACTAGAAGGATGAAGGTAACAGGCCTCATACCTGGTGTCAGGTAAACTGCTACAACTTTCCTGGAGGGCAGCTTGGAAGCACCCGTCACACGTGATAAGATATATGCCCTAGAGGCCATCAATGCCACATGCAGGAAGTTGTCTACAGAAACATCAGCCCCACACATGTTTACCTGCCCAGTGACGCTACCAATGGTACTATACAAACCACACAGACCCATCAGTAGGGAAAATAAACAAACTACAAAACATCTGACAAGGACAAAGCTCAGACAGTTTTCCTTTTCTTAACAAAAATTAAAACAAGCAAGAAAAAAAACAATTATACATCTGTAAATGTTTATTGTTTTTTTAATCTTGGAGGACAGCCAATAAATAATTCATAAAAATTTATCCTGGCACAGGAGGATTCTGCTAGTACAGAAACCCAGGTGAGAGATGATGTATATTAGAGCACATATATACAAATGCATGCAAATACACATATGCGTAGATATACACAAATACACTCAAGTGTACGTGGCGTGTGTGAATAAATAAAGGCACAGTCAGCAGAGTTTTAAGGGATTACTTTGACATGAGAGGAAAGAGGAGTTGAAGATGATGGGAAGGTTTTGATCGAAGCAATGTGAAGAATGGAATTGCTCTTTACTGGGACAAGGAAGACGAAGCAAAGAACAAGTCTGCAAAGAGCTGGAGTTCCAGTGACAGCACGTTAAGTGTGAAATGCCTGTTAGACACGTGAGTGGGAATATCGGATGCACACCCCAAGTCTGAAGTTCAGACCAGACACCGAGGCTGGAGATTTAAACATGGGTATCATCATCACATGGAAGATTCAGAAAGCCATAAATCTGGATGAAATCATTTGTGCAGTGGGTATTAAAAGAGTAAATTATAATTTTCAGTGCTTTGACTGGGGGCATACTCACTTAGGAGAGCTCCTGTGTGGTGGCATGACCAAGAACCACCGGAATATCAGAGACGCCCACAGACCCTCAGATCTGAGATCCCCACTCCACGTCCCCTTTCTCTAAATGAGAACACCTAGACCCAGAGAGGTTCAGTTTGCTCTCCACTTTAATAACTAAAGAAAGTGAGGAAAGTTTTTTTCCTTTAAAGGAATCGTATTTCCACTGTGGTACAGAAATGACATGTTATTTTAAAACGTGGGGGAAAAATATAAAAACATGAAACGTGGGGGAGGAGGTTACGGAGAAGGGAGGAGTGAGTGAGCACCCTACTTTATCCAGTTCAGCCTGCAGGATGCTGTGAGTGTTCTTGGCTTGCTGTAGCTCCTGGGTGAGCTTGGCTTTCATCTGAGTGCACTCCTGGTCCAGGGTCTGGAAGGAACGCTGTTGACGGGAGAGCTCCTAAAAAGTGAAAGACAAATGCATCCAACGGATGCTGGTTAACAAGGGAGAGCCCAGGGTGAGACCCAGACATCCTCCAGGCACCGCTCTTCTGAAAGAACAGGAGAGCATGGAGCCAGTCGGCATCTACTTGATGACCAACACAGGCAGCCTTAGCACCGGTCCCAGGCATCAGATCCTGGTCTCTGAGCGGAAGACGAAGCACTCCACCAGGAGAACACGTGGAAACTGGCCCACTGGCACCTCATCCCCATCTTAAATGAATCACCTCTGTTCTGAGGTACCCAGGGACAAAAGGGTAGAGCTGAGAGCCAACCGATCACAACTCCACTGAGAAATCAACAGACTCAAAAATGGGGCTTAAAACATCAAACATCATACACCACTGACCATTGAGAATAAGAGTAAGCAGATGCCACCAATTACCTTTGATAACCACACAGGGACCCCAGATTAACAATTCCAGTAACTCTCACTGAAAGACTACAGACCTACTTCCAGGCTAACTCACCTGAAACTGATACCAAGATTTATTAAAGTGCATCTTCAGCCCTAACTTGTCTGCTAACTTCTTCCCCCTAGACATTAATCACCTTTTTAATGTATTTGCCAACTCACAGACTTTATAAGCAGCTGGAAGGACTTCCCTGCAGACCAGTGGTTAAGACTCCACCTTCCAATGTGGATTAGGTGTAGATTCAATCACTGGTTGGAGAACTAATATTCCACATAGCACAGGGTATGGCCAAAAATTTAAAAAACAAATAAAACTTGTAAAAAAGTGAAAAAAGAAAACCAAAAACCAAAAAACCAAACAGCTGTAGAATGTAATATAATTTCCCTTATGACACAGAGTGTTTGAAATAAGAAATACAATCCTTTTCTACTTGGTATCAAATTTCAAACAAATCAGAAAACAGATTAAAAAAAATTCTAAAGCCCTTCTCCAATCAAAAACTGAAAGATGGAATAGTGTGAAGGAAAGTATAGTAACCTTTTCCACACACAGCATTTCCCCTCTAGTGGAACATCCCAAATGATGACAGACACTCCTCTTTTCAAATGATCAAACTAGGAAATGACTGCAAGAGTCTTCTGGACAAACTCCTCATGAATCCGTTTACCTTACCTCTTGGAATTCTTTTTCTTTTTCCTTGATTTTCTGTTCCAGAGAACATCTGGCACTTTCTGCATTTTGACGCTGACAACTCAAATCTTCAGTCAATTTTTTCAGTTTTTGTTCCAAAGCAGTACACTAACAAATTAAGACGTTCAGTACAAAACAAAAATTATTCTTGGAAAGAAGCAAACATTCTGAACTTTAGAAAAATTAGTCCCACGATCTGGCTCAAGTTTAACATTGTGTTTTGACTTTTTTATATCATACAAAGTTGGGGCTAAAACAATCAGCCAAATACCAAAACTACTACAACTATTTTAGCACACATAAATTTATATTTGGGAAATATCAGCAAGGCTGTAAACCTGCATTAGGCTATTTAAATAAACTCTTCATAAGTTGTGCCATAAAAGTAATCAGTATGTCTGAATAGTCAGCCACCTAACATTTTGTCATACAGAAATGAGAGGTTAAAATGCAGTGATGTCGACCTGTGTAAATTAGAGGCTGCAAAATAACCAGAGGGTATCTATTATCCTCATACGTAGTCTGTTTCAAGCATAACAGATTTTGTGAGAAATTTTAAATATTAATATGCATCTTTCCACAATGCTCCCACTATGTCATGTTAAACGTTTGGAAGTTCACAGCACTCCAGAGTATCACAATGAGTTTTTAACCAAGCTGCCAAAGGCAACACAAAAAATGCTCATTTGCCTTTTTACATAGCCAGTTATCTTTTTTTCTAAATTGAACTATAGTTGATTTACAGTGTTGTGTTAAGTTTCAGCTATACAGCAAAGTGATTCAACTACACACACATGCACACACACACATATTCTTTTTCAGATTCTTTTCCATTATAGATTACTATAAGATATTGAATATAGTTCCCTGTGCTGTATTATTTATCCATTTTATATATAGTAGTGTGTATCTGTTAAGCCCAAATCCCCAATTTACCCCTCTCCCCACTTTCCCCTTTAGTAACCATATATTTGTTTTCTGTCTGTGAGTCTTTCTGTTTTGTAAATAGATTCATTTATATGATTTTCTTAGATTCCACATACAAAGGATATGTGATATTTGTCTTTGACTTACTTCTAATCTCTAGGTCCGTCCATGTTGCTGCAAGCGGCATTATTTCATTTTTTTTAATACATAGCTAGTTTTCTTTAAAATAATTTTCAAAACATGAACTACATTGAAATTTAGGATGCTCTTTAAAATTAAATCTTCAAAGTGTTAAAACCCATTCCTCTAATTCTTCCCTGTGGTGTTCAAATCCTAGACCTGCCCTACAAAACAACTCTAAATTCCCAGGAAAGAACAAGAACAACTCACATTGCTGGGAGAGAATTCCTGGTCCAAAAGAAACGTACCCCAGTGTGGCAAATCTCTCCACTAATATATTTCTGAGACTCATTATAGACCCATTTAGAACTATTAGAAATTTAACAAAGAGGAAAAGAAAACACTATGTAAAATTTCCCGTAAGACTTGGCACCAGTGATTAACTAACCATAGATGAAAAGATAAAGCTGGTCTGATCTTGCAAATATCAGAACTTTCAAGATCCTGAATTTAAAAAGAAAAATATTGAGCCAGTAGTTTGAACTAATTCATTTCTTTGGACATTAAGATACCTCTGTCATTATCCTTATTGTTCTTGAATTTTAGGAAACAGCAACCCACTCCAGTATTCTTGCCTGGAGACTCCCATGGACAGAGGAGCCTGGTGGGCTACAGTCCACGAGGTCGCAAAGAGTCGGACACGACTGAGCAACTTCACTATCATAAGGAAAAGTATGAAAGAAAATTATTTCTAACAATAATAAATATGAACTCAGCAAATATGTCAAGCTCCATGCTAGGCATTGGGGATACAGCAGTAAGCAGCTAAGACAAAAATCACTGCCTAAATGATGGTCTAAAATTTTGACAATTCTCAGGGGGGAAAAAAAAATCCATGCACAGCAGAATAAATGAATGAATCCTTGGCACCCTCTGCTGGCACTCCCTCAAACTGCAACCCACAAGATCTCAGAATCAATAATACTTTCTTATTATTGTACAAAGAGTTGGTTTAATAAAAAAGCCTTTGGGAATAATTTATATTCAGATTTTTTTTAAATGTTGGTATTTATGATGCACCATCCATATACAAGTACCTGGCCACTACGTATCATGAATGCTCCATAATACTCTAAAAAACGGTTCAAGGCTCTAGTCCTTTAACAGTACATATATAGAGACCCTAGAGACTCAGTGGTCTGGGCCTGAGTTTTTAGCCATAAAATATGAAGCCTGAATCTGCTGCCCAGCCCCAACACTCTGTTTCTACATGAGTTCAAACCTTGCATCCCACATGGTGGGTAAATACTTGGAAAAGAAGCATACTAGAAACAGCATATGTTTACTGAAGCATGTGGTTGATTTTGGCTAAATTAGCTCCATTTTATTTAATAGGTAATTCTAAAGGTAGATCAGGGAATAGCATAAACAAAGAATAATTTGATTTCAGCAACATATTGGACAAGGTCATACTATCTTTAGAGACAAGATGGAGAAAGGTAGACTGAATTTTTATTTAGTTTATAAAATAAACTAGTTTTATAGTTCATAGTTTATGAGAAAAAAATGGAACCCAGAAAGCACTGAATAAATGAGTCTTAAGAACCTGGTGGGAAGTCTCTAATAGAAAGAGAGCAAAAGCTATTTTCTCAGCACTGTCCTATTCAAAAATTTTAATTCATGATCTGGTAAGTGACCTCATGATATATATTAGAGAGAAGGATCTGGTGATCCTGTCACACCAAAAGCAACATGTAAAAGTCAGTTGCTCAGTATCTTTGCGAACCCATAGACTGTAGACCGCCAGGCTCGTCTGTCCATGGAATTCTCCAGGTAAGAATTCTGGAGTGGGTAGGCATTCCCTTCTCCAGGGGATCTTCCAGATCCAGGGACTAAACTTGGATTTCCTGCACTGCAGGCAGATTCTTTACCGTCTGTGCCACCAGGGAAGCCCTCAACATATAAAAGGATAAGTATAATGCTCATACAAAAGAAGCCTGAGTTGGCAGAAATGAAAATGAACTAAATTGACTAGGAACTCGATATAACAATAACGACTTTTATAAGTTCACCATATGCCAGGCATTATGCTAAAGCCTTGAGAAAAATCATCACAAACTTTATAGCAATCCTATGAGAAAGGCATTATTACTAACATCATTTTATTGATTAGGCAACTGAAGATCAGAAGTTAATTAAATAGCTCCAAAGTAACACAATTGGGATGCAATAGAACCAGGGCTTGAATCCAAGTCTAACTTAGAAAACCAAATTACAAACCCATACTGCACAAAGACAGTAAATATACAGATCAAGGGAGATCATGTTTCGTCACACATCTAATCCATAGTTGTTGAGAATTTTTCTGTGGAAACCACTGCACTAGAGGAATTCTAAAAATGAACTGGGACTACCAACTCCAGGAAGATGGAAAAGATGAACATTTCAAGAACAATCCAAAACCCACATATTTTATTAAAACAAACATAAGAAAGTTCTGAAAAGAGAGAAGAAAGAAGATTAACAAGAAACTTTGGGACCCAAGGAAAAGCATAATAGTAATGAAAGAAAAAACTGTTAACCCAGAATCTTATACCCTGCTGAAATATCTTCCAAGAATAAAGACATTCCCAGACAAAAGAAAATTTAGAGGATTTGTTGCTACACTAAAAGAATGGTTAAAGGATGTTCTTTAAAAAGAAAGGAAATGATGAAAGAAGGAAATTCGGAAGAAAAATAAGAATATTTCTATATATAATAAATGTATATACAATAGGTTTTCCTTTTCTTCAGTTTTCTAAATTATGTTTGACAAATAAAGCAAAAGTGTAACACTACCTCATGTGGTTCTAAATGTCTATATAAAAAATGCTCAAGAAAATTATACTATAAATAGGGGATGGTAAAAGGACAAAAAAAGAAGTAAACTTTCAATAATTTATTAGAGTTGATAGAATGACAATAAATTGTATGTATACATACATTATCTGCTGCTGCTGCTAAGTCGCTTCAGTCGTGTCCAACTCTGTGCAACCCCAGAGATGGCAGCTCACCAGGCTCCGCCATCCCTGGGATTCTCAAGGCAAGAACATTGGAGTGGGCTGCCATTTCCTTCTCCAATGCATGAAAGTGAAAAGTGAAAGTGAAGTCACTCAGTCGTGTCTATCTCTTCGCGAACCCATGGACTGCAGCCCACCAGGCTCCTCCGTCCATGGGATTTTCCAGGCAAGAGTACTGGAGTGGGTTGCCATTGCTAGAACAATCATAAAAGCCCTACAAAGAAATATACTCAAACTATTGATAATTCAAAATGAAATTCTAAAAAGTGTTCAAGTAAACCTACGGGAAGGCAGAAAAAATGAAAACAGCCAAATGGGAAATGAAAGAAATAAAAAATAAGATGTAAAACTAAGTCATGATATATCAATAATTACACTGACTATAAATGGTCTTAAAACACTAATTAATAGAGAGAGTTTCTAAAAGGGAATAAAAGAGTGGATTAAAAAATATGACCCAACTATGTGCTGTCTACACAAAACTAACATTAGGCTATTTTTTTAATTCATAGTAAGGTCATATTTTTTAACTTAACAGTATAGATAGGCTGAAAGTAAAAAGACAGAAAGAAATACATCATGACACTTTAACCAAAGGAAAGCTGGAGAGGTTATATTACTACCAGATAAAATAGACTTCAGAAATGGGAAAAAAAAAAAAAAGAAAATTATCAGAGACACTAAGGGATATTACATGATAAAGGTCGATCCAAAAGAGGACATAACAATCCTAAATGTGTATGGACCAAACTACAGAACTGCAAGATAAGTGAAGCAAAAATTTATAAAACTGAAAGGAGAAATAGACAATCATGGGAGACTGCAATACCCTTCCCTCAACAATTGCTAGAAGCAATTAGACAGGAAATCAGAAAAGATAAATAGGAACTCAACAAAGAACATTAATCAACAGGAGCTAATGACACTTTTAGAATATTGCTCTCAACAACGGAATATACATTTTTTCCCCAAGTGCCTGTGAAATATATACTAAGACAGACCATATCCTAGACGATAAAAGAAACCCCAAGAAATCTAAAAGAACTGAAATCATATAATATGTTCTCTGACAGCAATGGAGTCAAACAATAAATCAAAAACAAAAAGAAAAATCTCCAAATACTTGGGAACTAAATTTCTGAATAATCCACGAGACGTTTCAAAGTTTGAAGGGCACAGTTAAAGTAGTATGGGAAGGGAAATTCACAGCATTAAACGTCTGCGTTAGAAAAGAAGAGAAGTCTCCAGTCACTAAATTAAGCGCCCCACCTCAACAACCTAGAAAAAGAAGAGCAAAATAAGCTCAAAGCAAGCAGAAGAAAATAACCGAGGGGAGAAAACAAAAGCAAAAAAAAAATCATTGAAACTGAAAACAGGAAATAATAGAGAAAATCAATGAATTAAAGAGCTGACTCTTTGGTAAGATCAATAAAAGAGCCATAAAGCTGACAAAACTCCTAGCAATACTGACAGAGAGAAAAACAAAAGAAGACACATATATCAGAAAAGAACAGGGAATAAGCCTGACCTATAATCATCAAAAGAATAAGGAAATACTGTGAACCCCACATACATAAATTTGACAATTTAGATGAAAGTTACTCTAAAATCACAAACTAACCCACCTCATCCAATGTGAAATAATTTTAATGGTTGTCACTATTTTAAAATTTGAATTTGTAATTTTAAAACTCCCAAAAAGAAATCTTCAGGCCCAGGTAGTTTCACGGAGAATTCTACCAAATGTTATAAAGAAGAAATAACACCAATTCTACACAATAGCTCCCAAAAAATCAGAAGAGGAGGGAACACTTCCCAATTCATTTTATGAAGCTAAAACTACCTCTGATACAAATACCAGACAAAGACAGTACAAAAAGAGAAAACAGCTGACCAATATCCCTCATAAATATAGACACAAGAATCCTTAACAAATTATTAGTAAATAAAATTCAGAAATATATAAAATCAATTCATTTTTCTCTACACTTGTCTCCATAGAGTGCACTATCAATGTACCTGGTACATTTACGTTACATCCCCCATTGGGATGAAGCTCCATAAGGGCAGCGCTTTTTGTCTATTTACTCACTGCCACTGCCGCACCTCAGGTCTAGAACAGTGCCTGACATACAACAGACTATCAATAAATATTTGTCAAATGAGTCAGTAAATGACTCAAATTGAGTCCAGAAACAGATTCACAGATTTAGAGAATAAACTAATAGTTGCTGGGGGGGAAGGATGGGTGAAGGGATAGTTAGGAAGTTTCGGATGGACATGTAGACACTGCTACATTGAACATGGATAACCAACAAGGACATACTGTACGGCCCAGGGAACTCTACTCAATGACATGTGGCAGCCTGGATGGGAGGGGAGTCTGGGGGTGAATGGATGCGTGTATATGTATGGCTGAGTCCCTTTGCTGTCCACCTAAAACCATCACAACACTGCTATCAGCTATACTCCAATACAAAATAAAAAACTTGAAAAAAGGTCAAATGGCAGAAGGGTATATACTGGTTTCCATGAGTGGATCAATTCAACCTATCATATGTCCTAAACCTCTTTCAAAGCTCCGTGACTTTACGTGCCTCTTCTACGTATAAGGCACCTGTCAGATGCTGTATGCACGTTTACTCTTCACCACCCTCTGAGGTGTAAACGACATCAGCGACCTGTGAAGTCCCCCAGCTAAAAAATGTGCAGTCCAAGTTTGACCCAGATCTATCAAATTCTAAAAGAACTTACTGTTCAACTGCAATCAATACTGCCTAGTATACATTAATAAGGTTCATTACTAATATTTATTTGACAAGTCTAAGCATACTCTTTCCAAATAATTGTATGAAAAAAATGCAGATTTTTCAATAACTCGTGAAAAGTTGAGTACCTTGGTTGATGCCTGGTCATACTGTGAAGTTGTTCTCACCAGTTCATCCCGGCTTTTGTTCAAAACTTTCTCTTTTTCATTTAATTCCACTTTTGCTTTCTCCAGTTGGAGTTGGAGTTCTTGAAGTTTATTCACTTGGCCTCTCATTTCTTTTTCTTGTCCTTGCAGACGTAGTTCAAACTCAGTAATCTTGCTCCTTAGTTCTTAAATCAAACAACCCACACTTCAATTAACGTGTATTTTTCACAAACAAATTTACAACTAAACTCAGAATGTATCACTGCTACTACACTCTGAAATCTTTGGTGAGTCAAATATAAATCAATTCACATTAAACAAGGAAGCTATTTTAATTGGATTTAATTTCAATATTTAGTCTTTATTGTTATTTTTATTCAAAAATCCTATAAAAAGCAGAAGAAAAATTTTGTTTTCACAGTAAACTTGTGGCAGGGGGGAATGCTTTTCTAAAATCATGACTAGTATCTTATTGAGAAAACTGCAAAAAGTGTATCACATATAATACCCTGTGTTAAAATTACCACTTGGTTTTATACACCCACAAATATTTGTTTTGTACCCATATCAATGCAAATGAGTGCTAAGCAGTGAAAAATTCACCCTCCTGTATTCTCTAGCGGCTTTACTGCCAGTAAAGAGCAAGACAGTGTGAACCCCCTCTTCTGCCAAAATTAACAATAACTTTTTTTCATTTTTTTTCTCCCTGCATATACACAACATTGGTTCCAAAGGCACTGGCCATGTGATAGCTCTCACCAGTGCACGCTGATGGTGATTTTCAATCTATCACAGCACTGGAAATTATCATAGTCTGCAGAGCAGATTCCAAAACACCACCTGGCGCCCTTGGCTGTCAGCAGCAGCGCGGTGCGGCAGCCAAGGTTACAGGTTTGCCCCCATATGGACAGCCTGGCAGCACACAGGAAAGCTGTTCTGCAGACACATGCCACACCTCTGGCCAAAACCAGCTTGTTCATGGGCCACACAAGGAGCCAGGTGAGATGCGCAGGGAATGTCAACAGTGACCACTTCTCCCTGCTTCGGAGAGTCAAAGCCACGCACCCTACATTTGAAGTCTTCACGGCACCAGCTTTTTAGTAAAATAAAGGTATCTTTCCAAATGGTGATAGCTTTTTTCATTATCCCAAAGACACTATTTCATATCACCAGGCTGGGATGTTGACCACGGATGGGTCTAACAAAACACAGTACCACTTTCTAGGATTAAAAGTGTCTGGAGTCATGTCTGAAATTATCTCAGGAAAATTTAACTCAAAAGTTACCTTGGTTCTGTGCTTTTAACTGATCCAAAAGATGAGAATTGCTAGAATTATCACAGAAACTACTATTAGTATCTGTTTTCCCTATTTGCAAAGTTGATCTACTCGGAGTCACTTCGTGTTCCCCAGAAAAATGAGATGCAGAGAAATCTCTCCTAACTGGAGTTTTTAGAGTGCTGGATGAAAGACGGCTTGGAGTTTTTTCTTGTTGCCATGAGAACACAGATGAAGAAGCCTGATGTCGGGCGATATCCCGGTGATTCATGGTGCTTTGGGGAATAGCCTGGCTTGCTTTCTGTAAAAACAGAAGCTCTTTAGAGCTCTTCAGAAGTCACAATATTTAAGACTACGTACTAGACTCATAGACATAAACATGCTCATGAAAGAGGAAAGTGGTGGTGGGGGAAAGACTACTACATATAATATAGATAAACAGATCTTACACACAGGGAACTATATTCAATATCTTGCAATAAACTATAACAGAAAAGAATATGAAAAAGTATGTGTGTATATATATATTTATATATAGAAAACTGAATCACCTTGCCGTACACCTGAAGCTAACACAAGACTGTAAATCAGCTACACTACAATGAAAATTTTTAAAAAGACTACGTACTTATTTTCTAATAGAACATAAAGCCATGCCAAGAAGGTATTTAATAGCACTTCCACTGTGTACCAGAAAAGAACATTCATCATGTCAGGGGAACCACTGAGTCCCATTACCCAGTGAAATGTTCTAACGGTCAGACTTAGCACTGAAGGGTAAAGCCAGCACCAGCTGAGGTTCAATCTATTTTAACTGGGCTCAGCTTTTGTATTTATCCTGCATCCCTCATATACTTCATAGAAACGCATGTGAGTACTCACTGCCATTTTGAATTCTGAAATATGATTTTCCTTTGCCCATCCTTGGTCACTTCCCCCTATAGCTTTGAACACAGAGACTCAAAATTCAGTACTAACCAAAGAACTCTTACAAGAATTTCATGTGCCACCATACCGTTTCCCCCCAAAAAATGTCCTAAGAGGCACTTTGTATTATATAAAACACATTTGTGGATTTTCTGCTGTTTAGAATCCTTTTTGTTCTTCTCTCTATCTCCATTCTAACAAACATCAAGTTGCAGCTACAGTAGCTGAGTTAAATTTTTTATAGCAAGGGCTTTTCTCACCACGGGGAGAGGTTTAATGTTTTTGGAGACTCACAGTCCTCCACAAAATAACTCTGGCAACAGATGTCAGGGCCAGAATTGATACCAATGTGAAATGGGTAACAAAGCAAATGATATTTCCAAGACAATCAGAAGTTTATGGTTTCATTTTTATTCATGTTGAAAAGCAATGACTTTGCTATGTACCAAAACTCTGGTGATCTTAAAACAAGGGTTAAAGGCTTAAAAAAAATTAAAATTGCTAAAACTCTAACAGGTACTTTTTGATCCTCACTACATAAGGCATCTATTTATACATTCAGCCTTAACCTGTCTGCTAAGTTGGGCCATCTCACCAAGTTCATATGCTGAGTGGGATTGTGCCATTCAGTACCAAACTGGAATTTTTTTTTTCTTGAAATTTTTTTTAAAAAAAAAATACCATGTGAGCAGAAACGAGAAAGGTATATTCTACAGATACCAGGTATTTTCAGGGTCAGTCCTGTAACTAAAAGCTGGGGTTCCCAAAACATGTGTTTTATTTTATTGATATTAGGCAAATCTTTCACCCACCTCTCTCAGCCTTTTTCTCCCCTACCAAATTGGAGTTTAAATCCCTTGTCAGCTACTTATTTAAAAGAACTAGAGAGGTTATGTTGACAACCTTCTCACCTGAAATAAACATTTCATTAATAATGATCCCCAAACCTCTCATCCCTGGTAGCAATCACCAAATTCCATCAGAAGGTCTGAATAGGAAGCAATTGCCTCTAGGTGCCAAAGCCAGCCAGGAATAACTCTGGTCCCACCCTCTCCAAACATATTCTTTATCATAAGATCTTAACAGAGAAACAAGTATGTTTCCACAGTTTCTAGGGAATTTGGGGCCTATTTGATATTTAGGGATAAAGTCATCTGCCCAATCCATTGTACTCCACACTTAACCTATTTTTAAACTTAAAAATCATAACCAATGAGCCAGGAAGTCTGTTTTCTCGGTGTAAGAAAAAACGGGTCAGCCTTATGTACAGCAGATTTTTCTATCCTTGCTCCATCCTACTTATAGCAAAGTAGTTCTTCAACTGCATACTCCATTAAAAGGCCCATAGTTAACTTACCTTTGCCTGCAAGGCTTTTACCTCTGCCTCTAATCTTTGTCGTTCTTCAACTTCTTTATTATATTTTTCTTTTAGATCTTCATATTTGGAACCTAAACACAGACAATGAGATACAGTTTCAGTCTGATCACTGATTTTGCAAAGAATCATTATGATAGTCTAGAAATGAGTATCTTCGTACATCAGTTAGAAAGAATATTTTGGTTAAGGCAACCAATACCGATCAAATTACTCAAGTATCAAAATGCATGGAAACACAGGCATTTTGAATATTCCAAAAGTGAATTATTTTCAAAAATACCATAGACGCATAAAGGGAAAAGCTTAAAGGCTGACTGATGGCACAACATATTTCAACAGATACACAAATATATATGTAACTAATGGCTGCTTTTTGTTGTTGTTTTTAATGCTTAAATTAGAAGCTGAATTCAAGGTTGAATGATTTCATTTCTTGGGCAGAATTAAAAATCTCAACAAAAGAGCTATTTATACAAAGGGAAAAGGATCCTTACCGCTATAATACTGGCTTGGTGTGAGCGGAGTTGCAAAAATTTTTTGTGGTGTAAGGCATGAATTCAGAGAGACATCCACAGATTGTGCAGCTTGCTGGCTTCTTTCAAGTTCAGATTTACACCTGTGAGAAAATGACCCGAGAGGATGCCACACCAAAGTCACAGCTGCAGAACACCAACACCATACATTCCCAGAGAGCAACAAACTGACAAAAATACCCACCCTCTAAGAATTCCTACTACTGCATTTGTCCAACAGACACTTCCTAAGAACTAACTTGCGAGACAGTCCTTTGTCTCCAAAGGAACTCAGAAAACAGAAATACAAGCCAGCCAATTACAATGTAATAAAGGCTATAATGAAGATCTGTAATAACCACTATCATAGCAAAGGAGAGTTGGGAGAGTTGGGACACATTCCAACCAAATTTTATATTCTAGGCCAAAGAAAGACACAGTGCAACCAAAAAAACAAAAAACCGCAGAACTTAAACACAGGAGGACATTGCTATCATTGAAGCAGGGGCTCAAATCTTGAAACTAGATAACATTACATATAATATTGTCATTATATTAATAATATAGACTTTGGCAAGATCCTTTTGACCTACCTTCTAGAGAAATGAAGATAAAAAGAAAAATAAACAAATGGGACCTAATTAAACTTAAAAGCTTTTGCACAGCCAAGGAAACCATAAACAAGATGATGAAAAGACAACCCTCAGAATGGGAGAAAATACTTGCAAGTGAAGCAACTGACTAAAGATTAATCTCCAAAATATACAAGTGGCTCATGGAGTTCAGTATAAAACAACAACAGCAGGGCTTCCCTGGTGGCTCAGTGGTAAAGAATTCACCTGCCAATGTAGGAGACATGGGTTCGATCCCTGATCCAGGAAGATCCCACGTGCTGTGGAGCAACCAAGCCCATGCCCCACAACTACTGAGCCTGTGCTCTGGAGCCCAGGAGCTGCAACTCCCGAAGCCCGCGTGCTCTAGAGCCTGTGCCCCACAAGAGAGTGCCCCTGCTCATCGCAGCTGGAAAAAAGCCAGCGCAGCATCGAAGACCCAACACACCCAAAAATAAATATATAAATAAAAATTATTTTTAAAAAATATCAAAAAATGGAAGATCTAAACAGACATTTCTCCAAAAGAGACAGACAGATGGCCAACAACATGAAAAGATTCTCAACATCACTCATTATTAGAGAAATGCAGATCAAACTACAGTCAGGTATCACCTCACACAGGTCAGACCAGGCATCATCAAAAAATCTACAAACAATAAATGCTTTAGAGGATGTGGAAAAAAGAGAACCCTCCTGCACTGTTGGTGGAATATAAATTGATACAACCACTGTGGAGAACAGTACTGAGGTTCCTTACAAAACTAAAAGCTACCATATGACCCAGCAACCCCACTACTGGGCATATACCTTGAGAAAACCATAATTCAAAAAGACACATGTACCCCATGTTAGGGCTTCACCAGTGGCTCAGCAGTAAAGAATCCACCTGCAATGCAGGAGACATGGGTTCAGTCCCTAGGTTGGGAGGATCCCCTGGAGAAGGGAATGGCTGCCCAATCCAGTTTTTTTTGCCTGGGAAATCCCATGGACAGAGGAGCCTGGCAAGCTACAGTCCATGGGGGTCGCAGAAGAGTCAGACACAACCTAGTGACTGAACAATGACAACCCCAATCGTTCACTGCAGCATTAGTTACAATAGCCAGTTCAGGGAATCAGCCTAAATGTCCACAGACAAATGAACAGATAAAAAAGATGTACAAGTAGACGAGTATTACTCAGCCATAAAAGGGGAAAAAATTGGGTCATTTGTAGTAATATGGATGAACCCAGAGTCTCTCACAGAGAGTGAAATATGCCAGAAAGAATAAAACAAGTATCATATATTAACACATATATAAGGAATCTAGAAAAATGGCACTGATGAACCTATTTGCCAGGCAGAAACAGAGATATAGAGAATGGACTTGTGGACAGAGGAGGAAGGACAGGGTGGATGAATGAAGAGAGCAGTATTGACATATATACACTACCATGTATAAGACACATAGCTAGCGGGAAGCTGCTCTATGCCACAGGGAACTCGCTTAGTGCTCCGTGATGACCTACAGGGGTGGGATGGGGGGCTGGGAGGGAGGCTTACGAGGGTCCGGATATATGTATACTTACGGCTGATTCACACTGTTGTTCAGCAGAAACTACCACAGAATTATAAAGCAATTATACTCCAGTTAAAAATTAAACAAGGAGAAATTTTAAGTAAATAAAAACATAGCCTTGATATACATACTATGCCTTTTATGACGTTTTTTAAATGCACATATAAAAATCAAGTTAACTTCATGCATGTAGAAAAGATACTGGCAGGAAACAGTCCCGAAGAAATGAAGAAAGTGAGCTAAACACAATCATTCTCAGTATGTGTGGAGCATTGGTTCCAAGACCCCTGGAGATGACAAATATCCAGGGATGCTCAAGTCCCTTATACAGAATTAGCAGCAGTACCGTCAGCCCTTCGTATTGTCAGGTGTAGAACCTGAGGATGCAGAGAACCTGAACCGTACATGTGTAGAGTATCCTTACCACTTCAGTTCTAACACCCTTCAAGAGAACACAATGCCTGCAGCTCGCCCAGTGTCTCTGGTTTCCCCTTAATACAAGAAATAAAATGAAGCTCCTCGTACAGTCGCTAATGATGGGCACCATTCTCTCTGCCAAGGACACATTAATCAAAGCAGGAAGGGACAAAAGGAATAAAGGAAGGGCCTCTGTGCGCTAGCTCCTCCCGGATCTAAATTCAATCCAAGAAGGAAGAAGTAATGTACGAGCTAAAAATGGTTACTCAGCAAATCAAATCACCTTCGAATTCATAATAGATAACACCTCTCCAACACAAATGTTCTATTAGTGTAAAAATAATAACAAGAAATAAATGAATTCAATCTTAATATTTCACTCAATATTTTTGATATTATCATTTTAACGTACCATCAATGCAAAAATCATTAATAAGGTATTTTACATGTTTTTGTACTAAATCTTCAGAAGTTGGAGTTCACTGCATATTTCCAGCACACCTCCATTTACACTAACCACATTTCAAGTGTCCCACGGCCACATGTAGCCAGTGGTGACCATACTGGACACTGCAGGTCTATAGACTTCCCAAGGGGTAAAAGGTTGGTGACTCCAGAGAGAAATTTTGAAGGAACTTGCAAAATTGGTGTTTCTTTTCCCTCTCAAATTCACATCTTATCCCCTTTTCCCTATCTTTTCATTTGAAAAAGTTTATTAATTTTAAATATTAAATAAAAATATACCCTGCTGTTATTTTTATAAACCTTTGTATCACCTGTCTCCTAGGGAAAAAACACACAAACTATCACCACTAAAAAAAATGTACTAAATTAAGCTCTTTTCTACTAGGTTTAATTTACCCAAGCATCTTTTCCTCAAATGTTAAAATATTAATGTTTCTGTCTAAATTATTAACATCAATATTTCTAACATTGGCACCCAAAATGTTCTTTTCAAAGAAATAATTATTACAGCATACTGAAGTGAACTTCCTATTTCCCAAGCACCTGCTTTCCAAAACAAATGCTTCTTTCATTTATTCATTCAACAAGTATTTGAGGACCTGCTGTTGCCAGGTGCTAGGAATACAGTGATGAACAAGCCAGACAAAGATAAAGTTTAGGAAAACAAAGAACTAAAGACATTTATTTATCATTCTAACATTGCAACTTAATAGCCACCTTACCACACGGATAGAAAACAAAATAAGAAAAAGACGGCTATGTACCTAAGTTATCATCTTCATAAAAAGACAAGCAGACAATCAACCGTTGGTACCTGCAGAAGGTTGGTTCTAGGACCCTCTTAAATACTAATGGGCTTCCCTTGTGGCTCAGCTGGTAAAGAATGAACCTACAGTGCGGGAGACCTGGGTTTGATCCCTGGGTTGGAAAGATCCCCTGAAGAAGGGAAAGGCTACTCACTCCAGTATTCTGGCCTGGAGAATTCCAGGGACTGTATAGTCCATGGGGTTGGAAAGAGTTGGAAATGACTGAGCAACTTGCACTTTCACCTTAAATACTAAAATGTGCAAAGGTTCAACTCTCATATTAAATCACATAGGTAGCATTTGCATAATAACCTATGCACATCATCCTGCACATTTTAAATCACCTCTAGGCTACTTATAATACCTAATATAATGTATATATACTCTGTTAATAGTTGTCAGCGTGCAAATTTAATTTTTGCTTTTGGGACTCTCTGGCATTTTTTCTTCAAATATTTTTGACCCTAGTTGGTTGAATCTGTGGATGCAGAACTCATAAATATGAATAGTCAGCTCTTAATTTTTAAATGTTTTACCTTTCATAAATATGTTTGCTTTGTAGGTAGAATTAAGATAACTGCAAGCTATGCCTGGAAAAAAGTTCTTGGTATCAAAATACTTATTAATTACAAACGGAAAAACAGTAATTTACAATCCAGAAATTCAGGTTAACACCCTAACCAAGTGATGGTTTAAAAGTCAAACTGAATCATGTACCCTCTGATATGAGGCACTGAGAAAGGCCATGTCACTAGTTCTGTGACACTTTTACCAAAAATTCATAGCCTCAATCTGACCCAGTGATTCTCTCTCCAGGATGACTTTGCCCTCCCAAAGGGCATTTGGCAGTGCCTGGTGACATTTCTGATTGTCAAAATTTGGAGATGGGGTAAGTGCTACTGGTATCTAGTGAGTGGAGGCCAGAAATTCCACGTATCCTATGGTGAACAGGGCAGCCTTCCACAACAAAGAATAATCCAGTCCAAAGTGTCAACTCTGCCATTGTTGAAAAACAGCAGACAAATCCAAATGAGTTCTATTTTACAATAAAGGGGTCTAGTGCTCCTTAAAAATGTCAAAGTCACAAAAGTCAAGAAACCATCACAGCTTAAGGAGAAAAGAAAACATCCACTAAATGCAACATGGAATCCTGGCTCAGATCCTGGAGTAGAAAAAGGACATTCCTGGAAAAATGAGTGTATAGACATGACTGGAAAAATGAGAGAAATTCCAATAAGATCTATAGTTTAATTATTAGTATTGAATTAACATTTATTTCTGGTTTGGTCATTTTACCCTGGTTATGTAAGGTGTTAACAACTGGTTCTGGAAGTATAAAGTTATTTAAAAATAAAATTTATTCTTAAAATTTCTAGGGGAACATTCACAGAAATTAACATGGGGCAATTTGCTAGTCTTTTTTGCTTTTAATCTTCCACTGTTAGAATGATAGGATTCCATTTATAAGCTAGCAGTGCTCAAGTCCCACTAAACTTATTTTTTGATTAATGCCTCTAGTTGTTTGGGGATTTTTTTTTTAATGGAAAAATAGTAATAAGCACTTTTAAAAAAATTGGTCAAAAAAAAATTGGTCAAATATGGCATTGAAATTGGTGGGTTTTTTCCCATTTAACAAGTATTTTCTTGGTTACCTTTTATAAGACAAGCAGTTTTATTTTTTTTATTGGCGTATAATTGTTTTGCAATGTTGTGCTTCGTTTCTGCTGCACAATAAAGTGAATCAGCTGTATGTATATATTCCCTTCCCTCTTAGACCTCCCTCCTACCCCTACTCCCCCATCCCAACCCATACAGGTCTTCACAGAGCACTCAGCTGAGTTCCCTATGCTTTATAGTAGGTTCCAACTAGCTAACTATTTCATACAAGGTAGTGTATATATGTCAATCCCAATTTCCCCACCCCCACCTTCCCCAACAGTCCACGTGTTTCCAGGGCAGGAAGAGAGATGCAGTCATAGAGAATGAAATCAATGAGTTGATTATGTAATGCATAAGATGGAAGACAGGTCTCTCGGACGGGGATCTCAGTGGGAAAGTCTTACAGACTTCACTTCCCTCCTCTCCAGCTGAGATTTCGTGGCACCCAGCTGGCACCCAACTTCACTCACTCTCTTCCACATCCTCAATTACTCCACTGTCTTCTAGCCCATCACCCTTGCCCCCAAACCCTAAATCAATCCTCTTGGCTATCTTCTCAGCATTTATACCCCACATGCTAAAGAAAAAAAAAAAAAACCCTCATACAATGCTACAGACTGGTCCTACTATAAATTCCCGGCCTCCAATCTTAACTGAGCTCTCGATGCTCCCCATCTTTGGGAATTCCCTAGTTCTCATTCTCTACAGCAGCTTTTCCACGCAGAGAAGACACAAGCCATCAATATAAGCCACGTTCCAACTTCCCTGCATCTTTCCAGTAACCACTGTTGACAGTTTGGGTATTTATGATTGCACCCCCCCTAGTAACACACACAGACCCTGGCACATAAGGCAGCTTAATAAACATATATTGAATAAGTAAATGAATAAGCCAGCAACCATTTAATGAATTCACACGGCCCTGAGCCATGCAACAACATGACTGAAGCATATGAGAATTCATTTTCCTCAAATCATTGTTCATTCCACTGGAAAGAAAAAAACTGTAATATGTAATAATAACACCATGAAAAGGATGCACCTGATAAATACATATAAAGATATCCATAATAAATACTATTCCCCAGAAAATTACCTTTTAAGTTCCTGTTCCAGCTTTTCTATTTGTTTTTTGCTCGAGTTCAGTTGACCTTCTTGGAAATTCACTTGTGATTCCTTGACTTGAAGTTCATGAGAAATCTTCTGCTTAGTCTTCTCCAGATTTTCACATATTTCCATCAAGCTTTGGTTCTCCCTTTTCAGGTTTGCACCCTCCGTTTTTTCATTCTCAACCTAGTGGGGATTGTTCAAAAGGAAATAAATCACTTACTCATGAACTTACCAGACATGATCTGCGAATCTGAGTCTAATCCTGATGACTAATTTTCTGAAATATGATTGTAATAATCCAGAAGTCAATGCTTGATGAACAGAGAAATCCTAGGTGATTTCATTTTGAAGTTTATTGACAGAAAAGTTTTACAAAGTCATGTATTACACTCTCTTTGGTTAGGTCTACACACACCGATCCTAGAGAGGCTTTAATATGCTTTCAAGAATTAAAAAACATTAACCTTATAAACCCTCTCTTAGCTACTCATTGTCAAGTTCAGCTGCCAAAGCCAGTAAGTATAAGAAACTGAAAAATTCTCCCACTAGCAAAGACATTTTAGAAGCAGCAATTGTATTACTACTCTAGTATGAAAGAGTACTATTTAAGTTTCCATTTACTAGTCCTGGAGAGATCTGGGAACTCCACAGTGAAAGCTCACTGTCAGAAAGCAGTATCTAGGAGACTTCTTTGGTGATCCAGTGGTTAAGACTCTGAGCTTCCACTGCAGGGAGTGTAGGTTCGATCCCTGGTCAGGGAACTAAGATCCCACAAGCCGCACAGCCCCCCCCCCCCCCCCACCAAAAAAAAGCTGTATTTATTTGGGCTGCAAAGTGTTCTGATACTGACCCCAGATTCACAGCCAGAGACTTTTGGCCATGTTGGTGCAGAATGCAAAAGCAATGTCCAATTCATGGTCCCTAACAGAAGTGAAAATGGAATTCAGCATCCCTACACACGAGCACATAAACAGAAATGAGGACAGAGAATGCAGAAATAAGGTAATCACAATAAAAAAGACTCAAAAGAGGAGAGGAGGGAGGATTACCACCTGCAGACAGCAAAATCACTTTTCTCTAAATTAAAAAGACCAAGAGAAAACTGTTAATCCAAATAATGAGTGAACAGTTGTAAAAACCGGCATTTCAGTGATACCTTCTGTTTTTGCTTTTGTAGCGCAGCCTCCAGGGTCTCAAGCTGAAACTGCCTTTGCTGCCGTTCCTTCTTCAGTTTGTCGAGCTGGCCTTCAAGCTCTTGAATCTTCTGGAGAGCTCTTGTAGGCAGGCCTTCCTTCCATTCTTCCAAAGCCCAGCTCATTTTGCTCTCCTTTCTTTATTACTCAAACATTTATAAACAAACTGAAAAGAATAAACAGACTGTTGGTCCTACCACAGTAAAAGAAAACTTACAGTCTCAGAAACGAACTAATCTACATAACCACCTCTAAGAATCAAATTTCAAAACTTCTTTCAAAAGATAACAAAGTACAGCTTCCATCTAGCCACCCTCTGCAGGGTGACTCCCAATAACTCTGACTGTGAAGTAGTACACAATATGCTCCTTTGGTTTCACCTTGCTTTCTGTTTTCCTTATTTCTCATTTTTCACTTCTTACTAGGCTACCAGTCAGTTCGTTTTCATTATACAAGGTATGAATATTTTGCTATAATGTTTCTTGGGAAATTGGTCTCATAGGACAAATAAGATACATAAGTTATTTTGCAAATGCTCATCTTTCTACTCTTCACGTCATTAATTCCCACTCATACTCCGTCCCTCTTCCTCCAGGAAGACTTCCCTGAGGACATCCATCATAATCTGGTGTTTTCTCTCCATCAGAGTCTCTCATGATACAGGTACCTCCTTCTCCTCCCACGTGGTTATCATTTGTTGAATCAGTGCATGAAAGAATAAAGTATGAATGCCATACTAGCATTAGAATCACTGCAAAATGCAGTCAAGTCATCCTCCAGACCACCTGTGACCAGGAATCAGGTATATAGCCTTAGTGATTCAAATTCCTTCTCAACTATAGACAAGATGTGTGGCCTTGGGCATGTTATTTAACAGGTCTATGCTCCGGTTTCCAGGTTTGGGAATAATAATGGTGGTGACTCCCTAAACCTTTAGAACACTATCTCCTGATAAGCTTTCCATACATATTAGTTATTATATTAGTTCCTAAAAAACACTTTTTTGTTTGTATATTGCTACCTATGGTACCAAGACAGAAATGGCCTGCCTCTTTCTCGGACATATCTTAGAAAATTTAAAACAGCTGAGAGAAAAGTATGGCCATTATTCTCTTCTCATTAGCCTTTAGAACTTAAATGGAAGAAAAAAAAAGCATTCATTTTCCAGTTATTTTAGCAAGAGGATGAGAATCTATTTTTTTACTAAGTGAAGTCCACAACCATTTTAGTGTTTTGTTTCAATCGACTTCATCAAGGAAATTTATCAGCATGATTAAAAATTAGTTGATGAAAGTACTAAGAATAATATTTTTCCAAAAATTAAAAGAGAAGCAAGGGTCTCCAAAAGTACATAATTTCAAGCCTTAGAAAGTTGTTTTCTCTGCCACTCTCCCCTCCCCCTTAATTCTTTGAACACAGTATCATAAACCCGATTCCCATCTACCCAAAAACTACTTCAAAGAGTCTCATGCCACTCCAGGAACAAAGACAGTTTACACTTCCCCAATTGGCAACCTCGTCTATTATAAACTAGCTCGTGCATTCAGGAGTTCAGGGGTGCCTTCGGAGGCACTGTAACTCCTAAACAATTCTGCCAGCCATGGAAGGCGTTACATCAAGACACCATAGCAAACAAAATATTAAAAGGAGCAATTTTAAAAGATGATCCAGACGATGGAAACAAACAGAAGGGCGACTGGCCAGTAAAATGCTTTTCCATTTCAAAGTCTAAGATACAACAAAACATAAATGGTTAAAGCAACCAACAGACCCAAGCTAATTTTGATTACAGGGGACTTCGACAGATTTAAGGTATCAATCATTCAACAATCTATATGAAACCACTGGGGCAACAGGACAAAAAAAAAAAAAATGTAAACCTCAAGATGAAACGGGCAAAGGGGGTAGGGGGTGGGGTGATGAATAAAAGCCCAGAATGTCAAGGTTCCTGCCAAAAGGCTCTGCAGGACTACGCTCATTCCAAAAATGCTCTATCTTAACCAAGTGGAGGACACCTTCCATGTCCGAATCACTGAACCCCATAACATGCCTAAAGAAAACTCTTTTGTGACGCGCACATCGCGCACTGCAGGCCGGGTTCACACGTTCCCTTTATCAGAATCCCCCATCTCCAAGAAACCCGAGTCCCCGCCGAAAGTGCCACCGCGGAGCCTGTAAATGAAAACTCTGCCTGCGCCTCCAGACCAAGCTCGAGAACGGGACTCAAAGTCATTTAAATATTTGAGTCCTCATCCCATATATAGCGCAAGCCAGGTCCACAGGCGCAGTCCAAGAAATGAGAAAATAAAAGGAAGGCAAGAGAGAAAAGCTCTCGCAACGAACAACAGTCACACCAAACCGTTGCCCAGATAAAAACCCTCACATCCCAAGTTTGCATCTCCTCCAAGCGACAAAAGACCGATGTCCACATTTCAAAGAGGAGGTCTAGAAAGGCTGCCAGGGAAATACCTGCTGAGCTTCAAGTCCCTTTCCGTACAGAGGAATCAGTTTCCCTCAAAGGGCGAAGCAAGGTCTCCTGACACGAGTGCAAGCCCTTTTTCACCGGGAGCACAGGGGCGCCGAGACCCCTAAGAACCTGGCCCGGGGCCGATTCTCTAGGCCCTCGGGTGGGAGGAGGCGGCGGCCTCAGTGCCCAGAAGCGCCATCCCACAGGGATCGCCGCCCAAGAGCCCCCAGCACAAGGCCCGCGGCTCCCTCACGCCCGCCGTCAGAGCTGGGACCCAAGGAGAACACTCACCTTGCTGGCAGGAAAGGGCAAACAACCCTTCTGAAAGGCGAGTCCTTGTCCAGCCTCGGCGAGCTGGAGCACAGAGGCGAATTCAAACTGCCCGCGACCGCCACCCGTTTTCGATTCGAGCGCTTCCGGCCTCCCAGACTGAACTTGGCTCCAAGCCTATTGGTCACTATCAGAGGTTGTGAGCCAATCGGCTTCCGCGTAGTCGAACGGCTGCCTCTGATTGGCCCTTTCGGATGGATTTAAAAATCAAGCCATGCCCGCAGAGGGGCTGGGCCTGGTGCTACAGGGTTTTTTGTTGTTGTGGGGAGGCGGAGCCCACGTGCTTTAGCTGAGGCTGGGAGGTGTTAGGAACCGCTGTTTCCTCCAGCGCCAGGGAATGGGATGGCGGATTAGGAGGGTGTGGTCTATCGGCTACGGCCAGCGGGAGAGGGCTGCCAGGTGAAAACTTTTTAATACTTCACACACGTATCTACTTACTTATTAAATATATAATTTAGGACATATCTACTGAAGTACTATTCGTCCTGTGTCATTCCTAACAATTCTTTAGGAAAGTATTCTTGTTTTTATTTAAAAGTTAACTGAGGCACACAGAGGCTAAGTCTTTTGAAATTGAATCTAGAGGATGCAGGGTCTTACAGGTGATTCTAAGCATTTGTTATCTGTGATTCCAGGGGACAAGATTGTACCCAGAAAAGTCGTGAATGTATGATGTAACCCCCTCTTTTCTTATGAAGCTCCCTAGTAATGTGTGTACTTATGTACCCTAAACTAAAAATAATTGACTTCCCTAGTGGTTCAGTAGTAAAGAACCTGTGTGCCAATGCAGGAGACGCGGCTTTCCATCCCTGAGTGGGGAAGATCCCCTGGTGAAGGAAATGGCAACCCACTCCAGTATTCTTGCCTGGAGAATCCCATGGACAGAGGAGCCTGGCAGGCTACAGTCCCTGGGTTAGCAAAAACAATCTTACAGGACTTAGCTACTAAACAACAGCAACAAACTAAAAACAAGCCTCTAAAGACAGGATCAAAACAATGAATCGTTAAATTACTATTTCTCTGACACTATTGTGTTCCTCAATAAATTCCAGCCTTTCTGTTTACCTTCCATTAGACTATTCCTACAGCCCCTTATCTTTCACTGAAAGTTTACTCATCCTTCAACCCAACTCAAATGCCACTTTCTTCTTAAAATTTTTGCTTTTCCCACCCACCCCTTGAAATAATTCCCTAGACCTTTCCTAGACTTTGGCTTTACTTCACTATAAGGATTTTTGCTGTGTTTTTAAATGGATGGATAGATAAATATAGGTATACATATAGACATCTATTTTTTGTCTGGCTCCCCCTGCAGACTCAGAAATTCTTGTAGGGTAAAATATTTTTGAATTCATCTTTACATTCCTAGCAACTCCCTAGTAACCTTGCACATCGTAACTTAAAATTATCTTGGCAAGTAAAACTGCCAGCTGGAGAAAGGCCTTGTTCTCCACTCTCCTTGAAGCCCTAAGGGGAGAGGAGGGAGCAGGTAGGGGAGGAGAACTTTTCTCAGACACTGCTCTATGAGTCTAGTATCTGACTGTCCCGGGATTTGAACCAAATTCCAACAATAGCTACAGCTGCATTGTTTTCCAGGGTAATTATTCAACTACTTATTAGCTGTCAAAGGAATACAGAACTAGAAAGAACAGAACAGAGCAGCCTGGTAGGCTACAGTCCATGGGATCACAAAGAGTCAGACACAGCTGAGCTCATGAGCATATGTTATGAAGTTAGGATTGATATTTTTACATTTTCCCATCTAGAGATGCAGTTATTCTACCACTATTTGTTGAAAAGATTATCCTTTCTTTTTTGAAAGCGCCTTTGTTGAAAATTAACTGAATATACAAATAAGGATTATTTGTGCCTCTCATGTTTTACTGATCTATATTATCTATCTTTATATCCGTAACACACTGTTTTGATTACTGCCACCTTATAGTCAGTCATGAAATTAGGTAACATCAATTCTTGATTTACATTGTGATCTTTTAAAATTGTGTCATCTATTCTAGGGCCTTTATCTTTCTAAAAGAAAGTAGAATAATATCAATTTTTCCAGGAGTCTTCTGGAATTTTGATTGAGATTATATTCCTCGGTGAAAGATTAGTGGTCAACACACTTGGATTTCACTTAATTTATGTCACCAGAAATATTCAAGCGTTGGCCCAGCAGAAAGCTGAGAGCCACTACTGTGGATTCAAGGAGGGCTCTGTATGTGGCCATGTCCTCTGTAAACCTAACAATGCTAGAGCTGAGTACAACAGAAAAGGCCAACCTGCTGGCAAGCATCAGGGAGCGATTCATCGCACAGACTCCCTAGC